GCTGGCGCTGGTTAGACCAGTCGGGCTGGTGATGATGGTCATGCTGGTCGAGCTGAGTCGTCTCCCTTGTAAATCTTGATAGCGAGCACACGGTCCTCTGGTCTTATAAGCCTTGACTCGTGTTTTGTTCAACGCGCACCTGTTGAATGACGTATGGCTCATCGCCAAGTCTCGACCCTTCAAGTCCCTGACTCTTCTAGACCAAGACCATCTTCAACAGCCGAGGCGCTTCCAAGACAAAATTCATGTGCAAGAGAGAGAATGTAGAAAAAGATCAGCAATTTTCTTTGAGAGATTTAACTTCTTTGGCTAATGCATCCCCACTCATGATTCTCTCGACCAACGCTTCTCCATGCCTTAAAGAGGAGCTCGAGGCGAGCACTGCCGGCAGGGGCACAGACTCAGTCAGGTGTGTCGTCGCTGTGGGGGTATGCAACGTGAATCGGAAGAAACTATTCAAACGATTGGCCCGGAAGGAGATACGAGAATCATGCCAACTAGGGTCTTGTTGGTTGTGTCGTCTTTGTCCCCTGCCTCTGAGTGGTGCAACCTCCCCACAGCCAACGGCCTACGAGTGATTTCGCTGTTACATACAGCACTTGGCCTAGAGCATTGAGCCAGAGTAGCACCGAGTGAAAGCTATTTAAATGGCTCTGCTATAGACTAAATGCGAACCCCAACCCCCCGCTCTCTTAAACCCTGTCCCATATGTCGACTATCAGTTACTAGTTCTCTTCTCCATGCAACTCTGACACGAAACGGGCGACGGCCCGGGTCCGCCTTTATGCAGAAAACAAGTGATATTCGGAGAGGAAGCCAATAAAATCATGACAACATACGTTTCCCCAGTCCCAGTCTTGTCTCACACCAGGTCTCCCCGCTTCCAACACCACTCAATAAATCTCTTAAGCGCCCAAGCCCGGAGAAGGGGTTTTCGTTTGTGTGTTCCTTTTTTCAAAATTCCATCTTGAACGCCAAAATGCCTGGAAGCAGCCCAAAGGGTCCTGGAAGCAGCCCAAAGGGTCCTGGAAGTAGCCCAAAGGGTCTTTCGTCGCCCGTGTCCGAACCCCCTCCTGAGCAGGTCATCGAGGCGGACGACGATATTGGAGATAGCGATGCCGATTCTGCCCTGGGTCCGGATGCTGAAAGCTCCACCGCTTCGATTACATCCAGTATCCTACAGTACAGGACCATCCATGGACGAACATACCATAGCGAGAGAGGAAATGCCTTTTATTGGTTTGTGCCAACGGTAGTCATCTTCGAATTTGTTGACTGACGGAGCTTAGGGGATCTAATGACGAAAAGCAAAGCGAGGCCATGGATATCATGTAAGATGAACTACAACGATCGTTGAGTTAGAGTTCTGACACGGCGAAGCCACCACATGTGGACCCTAGCTCAAGACGGACGACTTTACCTTGCGCCTCTTGAGAAGGATATCGAGGCAAGTGAAGCCGAAGACGATAATCGAATCCTCGCTAATTTTGGATGCAGAAAGCTCTTGATATTGGATGTGGAACTGGTAAGCAATCCCCATGATGTATATGGTTTGGGACCAAGCTAACCTATTATAGGCATCTGGGCAATGTGAGTGAATGAGTATCCGTGAACTGACGGAATGGGGCTGATGATAAAATACAGTGACTTCGCCGACGAGTTCCCTGGCTGTGACGTTATCGGTACCGATATCTCGCCAATCCAGCCCTCTTGGATTCCCCCAAACCTGAAATTGTTAGTCCGTCTGCGGTCTCCAAAGAGCCTTCTCTAACACGGCCACCAGCGAAATCGATGACTGTACTCAAGAATGGACCTTTACCCCCGAAACCTTTGACTATGTTCACATCCGCTATCTGGTTGGCACCATTCCCGACTGGACTGAGTTGTTCAAGCAAGCTCACAAGACCCTCAAACCTGGCGGCTGGCTCGAGAGCTTTGAAGCCTCACCTACCATCGAGAGTGATGATGGAACAGTGACACCCGAGTCGGCAATGGGACAGTGGGATAAGATCTTTATCGAGGGATCTAGGTCAAGCGGCCGGAGCTTTACTGTTCTTGCGGACAACCTACAGAGAAAGGCCATGGAGGAGGCTGGGTTCGTTGACATTGAGGAGTGGAACTACAAGGTATGACCATCTCGCTGGATTCACTACCTTCTGCTGACATGCAATTCAAGTGCCCTATTAGCCCATGGCCAAAAGACCCTAAGCTCAAGGAGATGGGCCAGTTTGGACAGCTCTTTGCCACCCAGGATACCGAGGGTCTGTTGACCTTTGTGGCCAACGCTTTGGGTTGGTCCAGGGAGAAGTTTTACGTGTATATCTCGCAGTTCCGCCGCGAGATTCGCGACCGAAGAAATCACCCGTACTTCAGGATCAGGGTGCTCTGGGGTCGCAAGTTGTAGGGGGAGGAGTAGTGGGGGTTGATTATGGTGCATCAGTAGGAGTTGTCTGATTGGAATGAGGTCCTTGGGGTTGTTAGACTTTTTCGCATTTTGGAGAGTAGCGTTGTCAAGTAAGAGATGTATATGTCTACGAGTGCTCTCCATTCCCATATTCGGGTGATGGTGACACTGGTCGTGATGCACAACCCTACCTAGACATGTGCTAGATAGCTGTGATGCAGCTACATACATATAGTGAAGAAGGAAAGGCTATTTCGTCCGAAACATAACCATTATTTCTACTTTAGAAGCATAAGTTGCCCGATATGATTGCCCTCCTCGTCCTTGGGTAGCTCTTCAATGGCCTCTCCATTCATCAAGCCATGGCAATACGCCTCCCTAGATACACCTGTTAGCTTTGCCTGATACTAGAAGGATACAGCTGAGAAGGTAATCAAACTTACCCGATAAACTCGAAACCGTCATCATGGTTCTCACTCTTAGGCCTTAGCACGCAAGGCCACCTCAGACCGAGAACTTGCACAATCAGATCCCCTTCCAACACGTCGTGATGACCCAGCCCCATGTGGCCGCTGTCAGTGACAAAGAACCTCCGCTCACAGTAGGCATCCATGACTTCTTGAATCCAGGTCAAGTCGAACCCGAGCTTGTAGAATGTCTGTAATATCTCGTTTCGGGCAGCATCTTGTTCCGGCGTCTCCCTCGACATTTGTGTCACATCGTAAAAGTCCATATACTTTTCGGTATATGTCTCTGTTGTGATGTTCAGTTTCTGCAATGTCTTGGTCAATGGAAGACCGCCAATGAGCGTGAGGCCGAATGCGGTTTCGACTTGCTCTCCGGTTGGATATGACTTGAGCCGGTCCATACAGTCGTTGTACACCTCTCGAAGTCGACTGTTTTGGAAAAGCTCTCCGAAATGGCGGTACTCGCTTCTGTATGTGACGCGGCCTATGATCTTGCCCTGAACTGCGAGAGTAAGAGGCTCATCTGTGGGAATAAATGTGTGTTTGCCCTTGTCACCATCTGTTGCCTTGAACGGTTGACCGATACCCCAAGTACAGCCGTACCCGGTCTCCATTCTCCAATCAGGGACCCAACTTGGCCAACCTGGTACTTCGCTCCGCTGTCGAGCAGACCATATGGTGTCCAGGCCATCCATGAACTCCGACTTGATGATCTCCTCGGTTGCCTGGGCGTAGACCTCTTCGACGGAGAGTGAGTAGTCAATGCGCACGCCCTTGTCGCCCCAGAAGCGGTAATCCTCTTCACTAATGCCGACTAGGGCATATACCTTGTCTCGAGGATCCCTGGCTTGACGAGGTCGTAGACGCTCGAGAAGATCCCGCAACGCCCATTTGCATGTAGGCCGCGTCTTCTGGCCAAAGAGCTGAGGCATGTATTCACTGCCCGACTTGGAACGCCATGGGATTGCAACCATTTGAGTGACGAGGCACATACCATCCACCTTGCGATTGTTCCTATCGTGGATGGCTTTGGCCTTATGGCAGAACCACCTGGCAGCTGCGCTGACATGCTCCCAGGGAAGGCTGTGTGATCCACAGACGACAATGGCCTTGCGAGCTTGGATGATTTCTTGTACAGTCCACATGCGTTGGAACCAGGGTCGATCAAAGAACTCAGAGAAGGCGTCCCATGAGGTTTCGTCGTCGAAAGGGATGCCTAGCTCGAGAGACTGTTCTTGGGTGTACTTCTCAACTCGCTCAAGTTTTGTCTTCTCGTGCTCTCCGTCGTCGGCGTATGCATCCCATCGAAACATGTCTGTAGCCTTGGGGAGGGCAATGTCGCCCACCTTTTTGACAAAGTCAAAGGCCAAAGGAGTGGACGCGATAGCTGGTCCTAGCCATGCAAGGACTGTTTCGGCCTCTGTGTATAGTGAGCATGCTGCGCTGAGTACCGAGATATGTAACGTTAAACTTACTGTCGTAGATCATGTTCATTTTAGAGACTTGCTCCGCCTTTTCTTCCAAGTTGTCTTGATTGATGCATATTTGATCAATCCACAAGGCCTTGTGAGGGCTGAACTTGATGATCTCCCCAAGCGCCTCGTACAACGAGGGAGTTACTCGAAGAACTTCCCCATCGCATGGCAATTCGATAAGATTGCTAGAATCGCCCCAGCAATATGAAAGCGCCGTGTACTTGATAGGATCCTCGGGGTTTAAGTCGACATGCTCAATGCTCGCCTTGAGTGGGCCGTTCTGGGTAGGCTGAGTGACGGTGACGAGGCGGATCTGGGACGCCGTGACCGGTTTGTAAGTGTAAGAAGCCATAACTGGAGAATGCCAAGAAAGAGTCCACTTGTATGTAATTCATGAGAACAATTTGCACTTTCGCTTCTCTTTATTCTTCACGGGTGGTGCCTAATGAGGCCTCTAGGCCTCTAATTTGGCCCCCACTGTGGCGGAGTGTCTGACTGCAGCACACAGCCGCCTCAAGGACGGGATCTTTGGTAGTTATAGCCTCACTCGCCACAGGCTTAGTTTCGCTTGCATGAAGATTCACAGCATTGAATAGTTTCATTAAGACGTATCAGGACATGCTAACCTGCGGGACCGCATAAATATTTCCCTGCTCAGCCCTCACTATCCAGCATGCCCAGGACATCTAGAACGCTCTGCCAAATCATGTAACCCTCTTCCCAGGGAGCAGCATGTCTGCTTTGACAGCGGCGGCCTCTAACGACTTTGATTCCTTGGACCTCCTTTAAACTTCTCTCCATCTTGTCTGCTTGAGAGATTGGTACAAGCTGATCCTCCGGACTCTGATCAAGTAGGACGAGACGGGCGACCCTCCCTTCCTCAACCCTTCCAATCAGCGTCTTGGCATCGAACCTTGCTGGACTTGCCGCTGGCCATGCAGTCTGGTCCTCTCCAAAAGCCTGTACTAGTAGAATCTCATAGACTTCCTGGAGATGTTTGTGCGAGTCGCCCAAGCCACTGACAAGATCCGGGATATCGTATAAACCGTTCAAACCAAGAACGGCCGCAGGACGTGGCGGTGAAGGGATTCTTTCGAACTCAGGACCCCAGTGTTGCGCGCCAAACAAAGCCGCCTGGAATGCAAGGCAAGCGCCGGCACTATGACCCGATAGAAGATACGAGTCGTCTTTGAGTCCGAGTGAGCGAAGTAGTGCGAAGGCTTGGAGAACATCTTTGATGTGTCTGGGGTGCCTTGCACTGCGAGACGCATCATAGGGCAGAGTGGGGTGCGTAGGAAACGGGGAGAGGGTGTAGTTGACGGAGACAATTGCCGAGATGGGCACGTCCGAATCATCAGATGAAAACGCATGGGCCACTGCAGCTTCGATAGATGAGGAATCTAGGAAAGGGTCTCTCCAGGCGCCGCCATGAATATGGATGAGCCATCGGGTGCCCTTGGAAGGGGAAGCAACAGAGGGAAGAGAAGTGATGGTTTCGCCAATACCGACCAAGGATTTGATAGCGCGTGGAGCATAGACAGTAATATTTTGGAAGCGGTTTGAATTTGAGGTACATGGTATGTTTCTGGCAACATAGACAGAGACAGGATTAGAGAGGTGAGGGCTGGCAACTTCAGCAAGCTGCCACTTTGCGTCCTCAGTTCCGGTTTTCGTGGTAGTCGACATGGTGAGTCTTGCTGGCTTGTACATTTGACCATGCGCCCCCTCCTTTATACACATACCGAAAGGCTGCTAAGGTTGCAACATCTAGCACATCGATTGTAACCTTGGCTTTTTGCTTCAGTGACTTGTCTCTATTAGGGCAATACACTAAGTTATGGGAGATCGAGATTGTGCTACTCTCTGGTTGTGCCCTAGCGCTGACGGGTGTGGTTACAGCACATACAAGGTTAATGCATGCTTGATGCTGGCCTCTTTCCGCGATTTGATAAATAATCGATGGAGACAATTTTTCTATTCCGTGGCTCGCATGATTGTAGAGCCTAGATCCACTTGAGATGCGTATGATAGAGGAAAGAGACGCATTGTGTCTCTGAGCGAGCCACTCGCTAGGCAATATCCAAGAGACGTATGATAAGCGCCGTTGGCGAACATAAATTCTTGCCTTGTTTGTTCTTCTATTTACCTAGACAAATGACCCTCCGTTGGCCCCAATGACCTGCCCAGAAACCCACGAGCTACTCGGCCCAGCGAGGAATACCGCCAAACCTGCAATCTCCCCCGGCTTACCAAGACGACCCAAAGGGCTAAAATTGGCGATGCTATCAATGAGTTCCTGAGGTTTACCCTTGAAGAACAGTTCAGTCGCGGTAGGGCCTAGGGCAATAGCGTTGACCGTGATTCCGTACTTGGCACCGAGGTCCTTTGCCAAGATTCGTGTCATCTGCTCAATGGAGCCCTTGGTGGAAGCATAAAGCAGATAACGAGGTGCGACCTGAGATTGGTGAAGGACACCACTGGAAAGCAGGATCACTCGCCCGTCTCGTGGCATATGTGGGACAGCTTTCTGGAGGGTATTAGCAAGCGCACGGATGTTAGGTTTTGGATCAGCCAAGGACTCACCTGAACAAGAAAGTAAGGTCCTTTGACATTCATGTTGAACGATCGATCGAGATCTTGTTCCGTTGTGCTTTCGAGATCGTTCATGGGAGCAGCGGCGGCATTGGGGATAAGAACGTCAATCTTTCCGAACCTATCGACTGCTTGCTTGACGAGCTTCTCGATCTCAGTGACACTCGAAACATCGGCCTGAACAGCAAGGGCCTTTTCAGAACCAATCTTCTCGACGAGCTCGTTCGCAGCAGTGCTATCGCTGGAGTAGTTGATGACAACTTTCGCGCCTTGAGCGGCTGCCTGCTCAGCAATGGCTTTGCCGATGCCTTTGGAGCCGCCCGTAATGAGAATGACTTTGTCGTTAAGGGACATGGTGAATCAACAAAAGGGTTTTCGGACCTCAACTGAGAAGCAAAGGAGGTTCAGTGAAGGAGTATGCTGTTTAGAGTTGTAAGCTACGAGTCTATGACGGCTATTTATACAAAATCAGTTGCCTCGACTTGAACCTGGCTAGCTCGGGCTGTTTATTAATGCAAAGCAGAATTTGACTCTTAGATAATTAGAAAATCTTACCATGTTTTGTCAGGCTTTACGAAAACACGGGATATCAATCTCGATCTCAAGCACGAGGTTGAGCGTGAAGCAGAGACAAGACGAAACGTCCGGGAGTTCAGGATTCGCGACGCGAAGAAAGGGGATAAGGCTCGGCACCCGCGGTAAATCCGAAAGAGGAATAACAACTCGATAAACCCGTTGAAAAGTTGTTCCATTGCTTACCAAAGTCACATATCAAAGACCGGGCGTGGAGACCAACTCATGCAGGCGACAACATGTTGTCCCACTAGTGTAATATCCCGAAATGGTATAGTCCGAGTATGCCTGTCTGTTGTTCACTCGCTACCCTAGTCAAGTCTTTATTGACGAGCGAAGAGGATCGTTCTGGTATGGAGTGTCTTAGTGACGAGTCATGTGGGCAAAGGCCATGCCATGAGGTCTGTTGGTGGCATCTCATACTTGGCGCCTTGGGAGGTGCATGTGTTGAGGCTGGGTATAGATCACAGGACTTGAAGCTCGAGCATGTACGCATGGACCAACGGGTATTTAACATTCAAGCCTTGTCTTCACTTGTGTAACATTGACTACCTACATAAAAGCCGTGTTCCCTCCGACTGGCCTGCTCAACAACCCCTGGACTTGTCCCCATATCGACTCCCCTGCAACATCACACGCCACACTGGACCACAGAAATGGAGCCAAAGAATGATCCCTGACCTCGTGCCAGGGTCTGGAAGCATTGACACCACCAGAAAGAGGCCCCCTGCATCGAACACGCTCAACGTGGCACAAGAATCCCGTACACCAAGTACCCAGTTCATCATCACCCACTTGCTCAGCGCACATTGCAACAAGCATGGCAAGCCACAGGACAAGATCGTGCAGGCCTAGACCTATGAGGAGGTGGGCCTCACGTTGCAGCTGGTGTTTTAGTCGTTGGCCAGTGACTTGAAATGCATGCTCGTAAGTGATGGGAAATGTGACCCCGATGGCAAAGATGAGTAACCCTGTCTGAACAAGGTCGCCAAGGTTGAGCTGAGACCCTGCCCCTGCATCTTCAACCCACTCAATAGCCATTGTGGAACCAAACTTGTCATACTCTGGAAGTGTGCTAAGAAGTCGATGCTGGATGAGATCTCGGTGGGAGCCCATGAGTGATAGGTCAGGATTGGACAATTGTCGGGATTGGTACTTTTCCAGAATGCTAGCCCAGACATGCATATCGAGCATGACTTCCAGCATCTCTTGAGGCAGTCCGAGTTGCGCCAAGCGATCAATCTCTGCCGTTGAGCGCTCGTTAGAGGCGACAGCCTGAAAGTCGCAAGCATGACCGAAATACAGGTCTCTGTTATGCTTTCCCTTTATTGAATCAAATACATTGGAAACAGGGAAATGGGGTCTCTTCAGCTGCTGCGATGATCGAATAAGATCCATGGTGTTTAGATCAGCTCGGAAGCCTGGTGTCGGGAGCTTGTCGATGCCGCCTTTCATGTCAACAAGCTGATACAGAGCATCTGCATGCATCGGTGTGAGTGGATGCCTGCTGAATGCATGGATCCAAGCAAGCTTGGATAGAGGTGGGTCAAAGGCCATCGAGGCTCGTCGGTTTTGCTGGCTGATGCCGAATTCGGGCCCAACCAGGCTGAGAATAGCGTACAGGGTTGTTTCCCCGATCTCCGAAATGGGTCTGAAGACCTCTCGGGTAATATGACCTACGGCCTGCTGGTAATGTTTGATGCTACCAATGTCTGTCACTCTCGAACAGCGGTTGAAATTGAGGTTGACGGCTGCTTGCCAGAGGAGAGCGTGGTACAAGGCCGGACCCTGAGAAACGAGGTTGCTATAACTGAAGGCAAAAGGGGGAATGTGCAAAGTCGCTGCACCCATGCCGAAGCCAGGCCAGAAGCAGGTTCGGCAATAGTGCAGCAGCATCTTGGTGTGATCATCAACCATCTTGTCGGGCACTTGGTAGTATCGCACCAACTTCCGCTGGTTGACGATATCCTCGGGCTCCTTGAGAATCGGTCGATCTAAGCTCTTACTCGGATCCTCAGCAGCCTTGGACTTGCCCGTCTTGAACTTGTTCTGACGGTGCATGTTCCTGGCCAAGTGCGACCTGGCGCTAGAGCGGAGAAGCTCAACATCGCGACGGTTGTTGTTGGAGCGGATGGTCACGACAGGGAGGAAATGGATGGAAGAGGTAGAGTCCTCGCTGGAACTGGTGATGCTATCCTCACTAGACGTGCCCATGGCGCGTAGCGGTTGCTGGGTAGTCCATACAATACCCTTGTGTCGAGTCGGTGAGCGGCGCGAGTCGAGTCGAGTGGGGTGGCATCAGATAAGGCAAAGATTGCAAAGAGGGGTCGTTCTCTCTGACATTTTCCCCCAGAATGTAACTTTCCGCTGGCACATGCTGACTAACTTCTTCGAGGTAAATGCTTGGCAACCATTGCCTCGGCCTTTTCGCTCTTTCCATGATCCGAGACATGCATTTTGAGACAGGGCTTGGCCTTATTTCAGCGTGAGGGGATGTTTTCTTAGGAATTCTTTGAAGGTTGTAGGGTTCCTTCTTGCATTCTCGACAAACCAGGCGACCTCAGCTTCGGTTTGAGGCCCGTAATAGCCAAACTCTTGCTGATAGAGCATCATCCGAAGCAGCTCATCCTGCGCAGTTGGAGGCAAGAAGGACTTGTAAACGTCTTCCGATACCTCGACGTACTTGACGCCTTTGCCTGTTGTGGCGCTGATGATTGAAGCCTGTTCCTCCATCTAGTATAGCTTCGTCGCACCCGAGAATGTTTTACCTTGGAATTTCTCGGGTTGGGCAAGGATCGCTGCCACAAACTTTCCGGTGTCTCCGGCTATGTCGTGGTGGACGTTCTGAGCGGGCGAGCGATGACATACGATCCGTCTTTGTCTGGGTTGGGTTGGGGTTGCATGATGGTGGCATAGTTCTGCATGAAAGACCCGGGAGCGTAAAATGCGCTCATCAGTGATGTTTTGCTTCGAATGTACTCTTCCACGACAAACTTGTCGTCGAAACCAGTGACTTTGGTGTACTTGCCACTAGAGATGACTTTGGGTGAAGGAAGCGTGCTCCATATGTGGTACTTTACGCATTGTGCGATAGCTGCATCGACAAGATTCTTTCCGTATTGGATTTCTTTGTGTGCTTCGCCATCGTAGTCGGAAGTGGTCATGGCGAAGACGGTGTGAGCTCCCCTAAATACGCTATCAAGGGACGTCTTGTTCGAAGGGTCGCCGGAAACAGCCTCAATGCCTTGAGATGCAAGGTCTCTTGCTCGGGAAGATGACGGATCTCGGCGGACGGCTCGTATGGTGTATGTCTTGGATAGCTCGGGATCTTGAAGGACATGCCGAATGACAGAGGAGCCTTGGTTGCCCGTAGCCCCGAAAACAACAAGAATTTTGCTCACATTTACTACTATCAGTATATGAGAGATGATTGAATGACAGACTTGGGGTTAAAGGTCGAGCAGCTGGTCATATTATACTCGCAACTTGAATCCTAATACCCGGCGCCGAGACTAGGCTGTAGGGATTGGCGCAGTGGTGTATTGACTACTTTAGGTATAGCGGCCAGGGTTCTCAGAGTTTGTTCATTCCTAGACACGACGTCTCGGAGGATTTATTGATAAATAATGGGTCATGTCGCATGTGTTGGTTCAGAATGGTGTGTGGATAGTGTTCACTTGCAAATAAGTTGAATATAGCTACTTGAAATCCTCCACAAACTTGACAACCTCATCTGTTAAGGATAGTGGACAAAAACCCCGTGATGAAGGAGAAAACTCTCAACAATCGAAGTAAAAACATCTCAAGCTCGCCCAACTAACTGTCAACCTCACTCAAATTCACCATAGCCACTCAGCACACGCCAGAGGGCAAGGCAAAGCTCTCGGTGCGGCTGGTGCTGCTATATCTAGCACCAGTTCCCAGTCCTCGCTTAGCAAAGCCAGTCCAGAGCTCGCACTGGTTGTCACCACCAGTGAGGGCCACATCAGCGTCGAGAATGGCATCTCGAGCCTGGACCATGTTGGGGTTGCAAGGTTGACTAGATGAAACCATTAGAATTTGTTTGCTGTGTAGTTGGGGTAGGACTTACAGGGCCATGCCATCGATGACCAGCTTCATAGCCAGATACTTTCCATCGGTAGGGACACCGTTGGAGTCAAAGGTGGGAGTATCAGCGTCATTCTTGCCGTGCTTGTCAATCAGGTTCCAGAGAACCTCGTACAGGGCAGTTGCCCAGTAAGTTCCAACGGCATGAACTCCAGAGAGCGAGTTGACACTGCGGTAGGTGTATGGGTTGGTGGTCAAGCTGGTGCTGTAAGGATACGCTCGGATACCGTTGGCGTTGTTGTACACCCAGTCACCTATGACATGGTTTGTAGATCGGGTGTCTCGGGCGCCCAGGTGAACTGCGGTAGCCATGAAGTCGCTCCAGCCCTCGCCCATACCGCCTGATTCGGTACCAGAGAGGCAGCCAGCGTTGGCAGGTCCACCGGTGAGACGGTTGGAAACTATAGTAGATGAGTATCTCAGAGAGTCGAAGTTGGAGGATGGTTACTCACGTCCATGGGTGTACTCGTGGATGACGACTCCGGCGTCAAAGCTCGAGTCTCGTCGGGGGGTGCTATAAGTCCAGAGGTACATCCTCATTCTACCAGGAGAGCCATCTGCAGGCGTGGCAAAGTTGGCATTGTTAGTACCGCTGCCATCCTGAGAATTCAGGATGACGAAATCGTTACCAGCACCGCCCTGGCCATTGTTGTTGACCTCAAAGTTTCCGGCAGCCTCGTTGAAACCAAGAAGGTGCAGAAGATCGTGATACTTGTTGGCCGTGTAAAACAGCTGCGTGATGGAGGCATCACGGTAAGAGACTGGATCAGTCTGAGTAGTGGAAAAGGTATACTCAAACTCGAGGCTGCTGCTGCTGGGGCGGTAGTTGTTGAGGTATGCAGTGCCTCCAGATGGGTTCACTTGGGCGATAGCATTGTTGCCTCGAGTCGTGGTGTAGTTTGCCGAACCGTCAGAGATCCAAGTGAACTCGGATGTCGCAATGTTCCAAGGGTCCTCTACAACGCTTCGAGAGCCCTTTGAGGGGTCGTTAACACCCCAGGGGCTGTGCGTGAAGAGACACAGGTCAGTATTGAGTCAAACAGTGAGAGCTTTAGTAGAGACTTACTAGACCTCGTAGGTCGCAAGGTCGGCAACATAGTCGACAACACCAACGACCTTCTCAGTCTTGTCGGCGTCGACGTATGTCAGGAGCCAGTTGTCCAAGACATCAGTCTCAACGCGCCAGGTGAGCTTCAGATTCTGCTCGCCATCAATGAGATAGACCAGCTTGGCCTCAGGTTTCTTAACAGTGCCAGAAGTATCAGTGAATGTGTAATGCTCATCACCCTTGGGTTCGGCCTTGGCGTCAGAAGCATCAACGGGGAGGTCAAGAACCTCGACAGTGCTCTTAAGGGCTGTGACAGGGTCCGAGGTATCTCTCTTGACCAGGGGGCCTGGGATTTTTCCAGTGTAGAAGCTGTTTCCGTAGGAGAACACCTTTCCATCGGCGCCAATCTAGAATTTCAAGTTAGTACAACCGATTGTATAGCTATCATGAGATGACTTACGTTCACGTTGAAGTCGGCGTTGTCAACGTCAATGTCATTGACAGTCTGCTTGAACCGAACATGGGCCACTCCGTTGGTTCCAACGTAGTGGTCGGAAACCAGACGGAAGGTGGCCTTGCCAACCACAGACTTGACAAACTCTTCGGCAGTCTTGGTGTAGTCGGAGGACGGAGCAATTCTGGCGTTGGAGATGTCGGGAACTTCGTCTTGAGGAACATACTTGGCCAGCTCAGGCAAGCGGAAAGCATCCAAGTCAACACCTCTCTTGCTCAGAGGCGAGTCATTGGGCTGTCTCTTGGCAGGATGGGCGTTGGCTTGAGATGCCAGGCCGGTGAGGCCCAGCAGAAGGAGAGAATCGACCGAGCGCATTGCTTCAGATAGGTAACCAAGGGTGCTTGAAAGACAGAGAGGCTCTTTGATGACTGGTCAAGTAGATGATGTCTGACTTGCTGTAGAGTCTAAATCTCCAAGTCGAACAGTAGCCGCTTATATATACATACCTAAACTCTGCTTAGAAATAGCCTCAACTATACAAATGCGCTTCCTCACGACACCGCTTCCTATCCAAGAACCCCCATGCCAATAGTGATATCACCTTCTTGTTTCTAATAACATAGCGAGGAACTTTTGGTCATAGTTAGAGCCACAGTGGTAGCATCCATGGTGGAATCATCTGATCAGGCGGGAACTATCCAACGATGGTGTCAAGTAGCCATCTTATCTTTACGGCTAGGTCAATATTTTGGAAAATACATGGAACAGCACGTCATGATCCAGGAACATCGTGCACTATGACAAGACGGGAAGGTCTGGTTCAAAGGCAAGGATGGTACGAGCACGTCACATCGGGACGGGCCATCGTTGAGATTGACGTGGACCTATTCGCGGAGTAATAACCTAATCGGAATACTTTGAATATTCTACGGCACATGATGAAAATCAGGGGCACTAGTGGATTCTTTATTCAGAACCTTAGTTACTGAGCTACCTTTTACGGATGTCAGGTCGTCCTCTAGGCGTCTTGATACGCTGTGACCATCTGCACGAGCTCATCAATCGGCCAGATATAGAACTGCGATGATCTGAGCCCTTTCCCGCTATCTAAGGGTTACAGTGACGTAGCTAGCTGGTTCTCCTCACAATAACTTCCAGCGCTTAACCTCACGTGGATGTGTCTTGAAGGGGCAGCTCGAAAGCCGGACTTACGGATAGCCCAAAACCCGCGAAGCTCTTGCCTAATTCGACCTTGGTGATAAAGGGCTCAAAGTGCGTTCCAGCCTTGTAAACGCCGTTTAAAACCCCTGCGTCTCTTGGCTTTCACACTAGCCGAGGTTCTTTTGGTTCTCCGATAGTCCATTGCTACCCCGACCTACCCCTGGTCATTGTGAGACCTTCCAGGTTGGGATACTAGGGCCGTTAATGCGACGCTCGAACCCGCGTACTGCACTTTAAGGTGCATTCTCGGCGGGGATTTTTCTGCCCAGCCAGGCATTCCTTCGCCGACGATCAAAAGACTAGGCCTGAACCCTGAGAAGGACCCTTCGGGCAACTGTGATTCTGCTCTCCTTGGTTGAAAAGGCTCCGAACAATCCGAATGGTGCAACAAACCTCCATATCGACGACATTCCGATTCTGGAAGGAACTTAAAATCTATCGAAGCCACATTCTTTCCCCCTCATGTATTCTTAATGTCAGGGTCGTCTCCTAGGTCTGACCATCCAATGACTTGCTGGCTGCACCCTCTAGCGTTACATTCAGTGTCCAAGGGTCTCAACTAGTCAGGACTCCCGTCTATCGAGCTTCTGCATGTGAATATACCATTCTTAAAGAGCTTGATTCTTGCCATTGGTAGCTGTCAATGTAGGGAACCCTGCTTGCAGACAGAGCACAGGACGCACAGTGACCTTCCAGTTGACCGATCATAGAAAGGAACGATTCTTATCGCGGTATGCACGCCTAAATTAGGTGAGACATGCACCAATGACATGTCAGAACTACCGTGCCCAGACAAACTGTGTAGCAATATCCAGCATGATAGCCAGCTTATCAGTACCCGCCTCCCAGCATTGCAACTCTTGTGCATGCAGTGGATCTTCCGGGTTTCTTTTAGCCTTGACAAGAGCACCAAGTGTCATAACTGGGTTGCTGACATCATACAATGTCTTTTCTAATTGCCATTCCTCGCGGGTTTGCGCTTCCCACAGCATCTTGCTTGAGAGAAGAGGTAAGAGTTCAAGGGGGCCACATCCTCTACAGGGAATGTTGTTGTCGATGAATATGACGGCACTTATGACTATCCAAAGAGATGACATCCTTCATAGTCCATTTGTCAGCATGGGGTCTCTTGATGGGAATGGCAGGTTCTTACCGTCTCCGTGATTCAGCAAAGATCCAATCTTCCCATGTTGGGCTTGGTTCTGCTCGCTCAGTCTGGGAATAACTGCCAACAAAGGTAAGGAACCGAGAGCTGAGGGTCTGGTCAATTGTTAGCTGGGCATCCCCAAAGTTAACGTGATGTAAGCTTGCGGGGAATCTCACTTCAACTGTGTCAAGCAGCCTTGTACCGCGCTGCTTGGTCTGTTCGTCTTGATCAATAATGGCCATTATCATGTAGATCATCAGCGACTGGACAGCCATTTGTAGCTCACGAGCCGAGTAACTCAAGTACTATTGAACTTTGAGTTAGTTTATCTACCTGGCAGCCACTGATTTTCTTACATTTTCTCGAAAGCGCTGTTCCTCGGCGTTGATAGTTCGCCAGAGAAATGTTCTCGTCTCCGGCGTCCTTGCCCCGAAAAGCTGCGCGATGCTCATGCAATTTGCCAGTGCTTCCGGAAGGCGGGGCTCGTGCCACTGAGGGTGTATGAAGGGTGGGAATGTCTTTCGACGAAGCATCATTTGGGGAAACGCGTAAAGGGTCTGCAGGACTAGCTTTGCAGCATGGTGTGAGGCCTCGCGTTGGTAAGGCAAACGGGTAAGGTCGGCTTTAGCGCTGAGCGATTTGGCAGTAAGCTGTGTCTCTAAATCGCCTTCTTGATATGGTAGATGTGGCTGGATCGCCCTCTGGGCTGAAATGACTGCATCGGATGGTAGACTTGAGACAGAGTACCCTTCAAGATTCGGGTCCAATGTGAAGGCATCCAGGTCAAATGATGACCCGAAGTCATGGGAGGATGTCAGAGTCATTTCTGAAACCTGTTGATTGCTTCCGTTCCCAGTCCAAAGAACTTCAGTGTTGGCTTGGCGCCGACTTGGTTGGTCGTAAATGCATGCCAGGTCTTTCTTCCCACAGCGGGAACATGGCTGGCCAAAGGTGCACTTGGCTTTGGCCTTGCTGCATGAGAGACAGGACCTTGGTCGACCTTTACGTCTGGTCTGAGCCCGTTGACAATACTTGATATGGCGGTTATACGAGTGCTCTGTGAAATCTTAGTCAGGGAGCTGGGAAAGGGATGTGGTCGGGAACCTGGAGGTGGGAACAAACCTTGTCTGTAGACCTTCTCACAAAGAGGACAGTTCTTGAGGAATAGAAGCTCAGTCTGAACCTCCATATCGAATTCGGCTATATTGTCACTTATCAGGAGTACTATCGGTCAATGGTAGTGTCGATTTGGGGCAGAAAAGCTTCTAGGCATGGTACCTACACAGTGGCAACATCGCGACATTTCGCGTCAGCTGGTCGTCACGTGTCACATTACATCGGAGTTAAGCTATCTCCATGACACCAATGGCCACTTCGAACCAAGCTTGCATTCCTATCTAACACTAGGTTGCGTATATCTTCTATCCTTATCTTGTCTAGATCACTCCTATTCAACCACCCCGTGATCCTTCTTGTCTATACATGCTGCGCATTTTACCAGGGGAGAGGACCGTTTCGGTCACTGAATGTCCTGGTTGGTCCGTCTTCACCCAGAGTGGCCAACTCGACGATGCGCTCTGCTCCGACTTCAGGGCTATGTCCATACTCATTGAAATCGGTCAAATTTGTCTTGACATAACCGGGGCAGACACAGTTAACCTTTCCTCCAGCGTCATCCAAGAGTCGCGCATAGTTGATGGTGAGCATATCGACAGCCGCCTTGCTCGCGTCGTAGGCCTTGTAATCGATGGGGTAGTAGGGAGTTGTCTTGTCTGTAGCTCGCTCTAGGCTTCCCATGACGCTGGAGACAAAAACGATGCGGGGAGGTCCGGCTTTGGCTTTCTGAAGAAGCGGGACCAAGCCCTCAGTCAAGGTGGCTGTACCGATAACGTTGGTCGTGAATGTCTTGGTGAAGAGGTCCCAAGTGGTCTGACCCTTATGGTGGTCGATAAGGATACCAGCATTGTTGATGAGAACGTCGAGGTATCCAAATCGCGTCTGGATATCCTTGATGGCCGCCTCAATCGAAGTCGGCGAGGTCAGGTCAAGCTGCACAACCGAGGCCTGGTGACCAGCATCACGGAGAGGAGCCGCCACAGTCTCACCGGACTGTGGGTTTCGAACGCCAAGGAGGACGTGATAGTTGTGCTTGCTGGCGAGGGCTTGAGCAACAGCACGTCCGATGCCCTGGCTCGCACCAGTGACGAGAACAAGAGGGAGCGAGGCGGGAGAAGACATGTTGGGATCGTGTAGAAGTATTTTGATAGGTGCTTAAGGGTGTTGATTGATTGTTTGGATGCGATTTGGATGCTCTACCTCTCCTCCGGGTCTGATTCCTACTTATACTTGTGAATAGTGTGTTGACTTGTTGCCGAGGGACATTTTGGCCGTAACTAAAAGATTGGCTATGAGTAGATGACAAATATGCATTCATGATTAATTGTTTTCTTTGGGGGAGCCTTCTTTCATCACAGGCCAAGTTGGCCGGAATGCGACAATTATCTCGTGGTTGATAGTGGGGACACCGGCCAAATTGGCCGGCGTTGGGTCCTCGGCTTGCTCATAGGCCAGTAAATGCCCGACAATTGCGTACTTCTTTTCATTATTAATTGGCTTTTAATTAACATAGAGAATCAAATCGGAGATTGTGTTAAAGTCCGTGGAAAAGCTCCAGAGGCTTTATTTCCCCTGGCATGTCTCCCTTTCTGTACTTCCTATAATCTCAAGCCCTGCCTGACGGAATTTGGTCATGCAAACTTCGGTAAAGCACAGCCTCGATTTACTTTAGAGGCCTTCACGGTAACAGGTCCACATTCGAGTAGAGGCAGTGCGATATAGATGGCTCCAAAGTGAATGCCAAGTCGAGGTTTCATATGTACAGGAGTCATTCAATTGTATACTAGAAAGTCATGTGCTCGTCCTGCGTGTCTGTGGAATACTGGGGGCCCAATTAGAAGCTGAGCTTCTGGCCAGCCTCACCTGGTACGGTCGAAGCTACCTTGCCCGAGCCAAGGAGGCTGTACTTGTAGGGAACAGAGGTCAAAGTTCCCTTGCTGGCCGTGTTCTGGCTCTCGCCACCGAGAACAACATCCTCCGCAACGACGTAACCAATCTCCGCGCTCGACTCACTGAAAATGGCCTTCTTGCCAACATTGGTGAAAACAGACGACTGGATGAGGGCCTGGGCACCCATGCGGCTGTTGAGGCCGGTATCCATGGTGTCGTAGTATTGGCTGTGCATTGTGTTAGCTCCTAAACGATAGGAAGATCAGAAGCGAGTACTGACTTGAAGATGTGGGCGGTGCCGAATCGGAGAAGGGGTCCACGGCTGCGAACGTTGTGGAAGTGGTTGTTGGCGTAGGTCACGTGGAGCTTGCCAGTGTCCTCAGCTGCATTCTTGTCGGAGTGTCCGACCAGAGATCCCTTGGACTAAGAGAATATCCTGTTAGTACACTTCGAGAGTCTTCTCATGGCTGCCAAATCTTTAACTTACGTGGTCATGGAGGTAGGTGTGCGAGATGGTCACCCAGTCAGCAGCATGCGAGAGGTCAACAAGACCATCATAGAAGTCCTTGTCGCCAGACCTAGTAGCAGAAAGATCACAGTGGTCGACCCAGACATTGGTAGACTTCTGAATGGTGATGGCGTCACCGTAGTCAGCCTCGACCTTGGAAATCTTCATGTTGCGAACGATGACGTTCTTCTGCCCATTGATGGTGAGGCCGACGCCCTCAAGAGCTGCAGAGTGTTAGCAGACATGACATATACTACAGGCCTGGAAGACATACAGCTGCCGGCCTTGCCGATGATGGACTTGTCTGATGTGACTTGGACCTTGGCAGCACCCGAGATACTGCCCTCGACAAAGATGATGGCAGCACCAGCAGCGCTAGCCGCGGCGGTAAGTTCGCTAAGGCTCTTGACTGTCACTTGCTTGCCGCCAGCTCCTCCAGTCGTTCTACATATTCCTAGTTATTGAAGAGTCCTTGCGATAGGAAGATGCGATAAGAGAACATACCCGCCATTCTGGGTGCAGTATCCAACGGAGCATGCATCAGTGGCCGCAGCCCTGGCGTACAAAGACGGGCCAGGGGACGCAACGGCCAGCGTAGCGACGAAGAGAAGGTTTAGGAGTTGCATCGTGTAAGAGTAGTAGACAAGAGGTGCCAAGACAATGTCTTAGTGTGTATTTCCTCCAAGATTTGGAGGCAATCGTTGCTCCTAAATACAAAACCACACCCCTGAGGGCTCAAAATAAAGCCGACCTGTATCCTAGTATGAAACAACTTTATTTGATAATCCTTTTCTCCTTGAATAATAATGCCTCGAATCATTGGCATGTTGTTTCAGGACCATCCTTGACGTAACGAGGTTGAAGCAAGCTCTGCGACGCCATTGGAGGGAAAACTTGAGCCGGAACCAAACGTCACGCTGCAACCCACATTGGAAACCTCAGTGACATGGTTATACAGCAGGGAGCAGTATTTTCCACGAGCAGGAGTCTTTGTGAACATATAGTCCATGGTGTCGCGTCGATCCTAATGGGGTGTAAGTGTTGCATCAGGCGGACCAGTTTCCTCCGGGTTGCCTGGTTAAGAGTCGGTAAGGATGTGACAGCTGTCAAGTAGACCAAAGGGGGTGGTGAGAAGGTTTCTTTCAATCTATTATACAATTCTATCTAAAAGCATGTCTAATGGGACCCAAATATTTCGCCTGTCTTCTCTTACACTCAGTTTCCATTCAAACAACCCCCGCATCCTTGATAAAATCCATCCTTGGAACTTGAGCCATCCTCTTTGCTCCTTGGCTAAAAAAGAAGCTTTGCATCGAATGGCTTGCCAAGACATGTTTGTCGATGAACTTGTGCACTGCGGTTTGCCAAGTGGCACTCGCAGTGGCCTGGCCTGAGCCTGAGCAAGCGGCAGTGACTGCCTCCAATCGTAAAGATTGGTACTTGTTGAAGGCACTGGCTAGCTCAGACCTGTTCGGTGAGGCTGTTTCCTGGACGACCTGGTACAGTTCATTCGCCAGTGCAAGAACATCAACGATGCCGTTGTTGCAACCCGCTCCAGTGCTGGGGGTGAACTTGTGAGCGGCATCCCCGGCAAGCACAATACGTCCATCCCAACTCCAATGCTTCACGACGCCTTCCTCCAAGTTGACCAATCCTGACTGCGTTCTGCGAGAGAAGGCCTCTTTCAAGGTGAGTTTCCCTCCAGGCGCAAGAGGAAGATGGCCCCAGCGTTCGACCAACGCCAATTGATCCTCTTCGGTATATCGCGCTCGGCTTCTTGTCGGGCTCTCCAGCCTCTCATACAGTCCCATCACGGTCGTGTCAGGGCCAGAAAATAGTTGGGTGGTTGCACCGGGACCATGTGTCTCAGAGGTGATTCCAGCTTGCAAGCCAGTATCTGACGTAGGCATTCGAAGCCAGAATCCTCTGTAGGTTGTCAAGAATGGCTTCTCGTCATTCACCTCAGTTTCGTTGGCTTTCAAGGCCAGTGTGCGCATTCGTTCTCGGATGAGACTGTGGGCACCGTCTGCCCCGATAACAACGGAGCCCCTGTAGGAGCTGCCGTCGGTGCAGGTTACTTCAACCCCGTCTTCATGTGGGATGACATCTTCAACTTTCTTGCCAGTGATGATGTTGCTTTGCGTCTTGGGGGGAAGGGATTCGTAGAGGACTTTTGTGAGATCATGACGGCTCAGAACTCGAGGCGATGTACCAAAGCTGAGCATGATTAGCGATGGACTGGTTTTTGGAAATTTGGAACTTACTGCTTCTTGAAGTAATTGAACCATCTGACATCTCCGATATCTTGGCCTTGGTGATCTTGTCGTTCAGTCTGGCCGAGAGGAGTGCTGACGCTTTCAAGGGCGTCGAGTAGACCAAGTTGGCTGAGGGCCTGTATTCCCATCGGCATCATGACAAGGTTGGCCCCAGCATCAATGATGGCGCTTGGTCGGCTTTCCAGGACGATGCAGTCAATGTTGGCTTGGGTAAGGGCGTGGGCAGCGGTGAGTCCGACAGGACCGCCGCCGACGACGATGACTTTGAAGTTGCTAGCGTGCATTTTCTTGGCTTAGGTAGGTGATTGAAGTTGTTATGCTATAACATAGTACGAACAGTTCAGAGCGGCTTGGCAGAGCAATATATAACTTATTTGAAAAGTAATGTTTACTCATTTTGAATGATTACATCATTGTCGCCATTCGCGTCCTTCTCGCACTCGGACTCGCACACGTCGAAAGGGTTACCCAGTTAGGAAAGGCTTCAGTGTCACTATCCAGCCGCAAAACGCCTCGAAGCCAACGTGTTCCAGCCACAACCAAATACGTATTTCCGAGCCCAATCGGAAAAGTCTCGCACACCGTTTAGTCGGCCAGTTTAAAAGAATAATCGGCATTTTTATTGCTCCGTTATTCGTTTGCGAAATGCCACTCCCGACGCGAAAGCGACCCGCTAACAAGCCTTGCGCCACCCATTTCTCTTCGCTCTCGCTAAACCATTGAGTTGTAAAGCCCAATAGGAACCTTATTAGCGCAAATCATGTTAAGCGATAGTCACGGAGTCGCCGACGATATATCTGCAACTACATGTTGTAAGATTTGCCGCAAGTTGTCTCGCAGCCGCGTCGCCTGTCTTGTCATTACCTGTTTGCGCCGTTTCTATTTGTAATCAGGATGTTTTCTTATCACGATGGTAACCCATAAACAAGGTGGTCTACATGGCTGCATTATCATCTATTCATAACTTGGAAGCAGCTGCATCGTTTAGAGATGGAAAAGATGCAATTACCAAACCGCCCGTTGCAATCGCACTGAAAATTTTGAATGTAATAGATCAATCCCTTCTCACGATGTTGGGCATTTTATATGTGACCTTGTAGAGTGTGGACTGTCGCATTTTTAGCAGGTATCAAAGCTTGCCATGTTAAAGCATATATAGGCAATAAATCACTACCAAGCTCTCTCTAAGACGCAACACTATGATTGCCTGGCTGTTTGTAGACATAGAGACCATGGGTTAAGGCTTTTCATAGGTGAAATGTCGCAATGAATCTCAGTGCAAGACCCCTACATGTTACGCTAGCCAGTCTGGACTGATCTCGATCTGCAAGATGAGCACACGATTACAACCGAAACAGTTGGCCTAAGGCTCTCCATTATCTTGGATTTTATCCCTCAGTTTCATCACAGTTATCTTTCCTCGTTCGCATTCTCCCAGCCCACCGTTAGCAATGTCCGCCTACACAAGCACGCTGGATGACACCTCATTCCGGCTTGCTACCGTTGAGTTGGTTTCTGGAGTCGAAAACAACAGGAACGAACCTCGGATCCCAAGCGTCACCTTGAAAACCTACCAGATCTCAGGCGCCACGACTCCTAGCTACAATGCCCTCTCATATACCTGGGGGCCACCACGGGGAAATGCCCCAGGGTTTGTACAGTCAGATGACTGGCCGATCCTTCTGAATGGAGAAGCATTTTGTGTCAAGACCAATCTCTACGACGCCCTGATGCATCTTTGCCAATATTCCCCCCGAAAGCCTGTATGGATCGACGCCTTGTGCATCAACCAAAGCAACATGGCCGAGCGCCAACCTCAAGTTTCGGCCATGGACAGAATCTACAGCAGAGCCAGCATCGTGCTCATTTGGCTGGGGAAGCCATTTGCCAAGCTTCAACTTGGACTTGAGGTTGTAGATCGGGTGGGCGAACTCGCCACTCGTGAGGCTCAACGCATCATCTCAAACCAGAGATATGATCTTAGCCTGAGCTTGGCAGATATGAAGCGCAACTACGACCTGGAGCCACTCACCTTGGACGAGGCGGATGGCCTTGTCACTCTGTTTGAAAGCTACTGGTTCTCCAGAGTTTGGGTCATTCAAGAGGTGGCTCTTGCAAAGGAAGTCGGTGTCTTTTACGGCGACGGAATTCTGCCATACGACAAAATCGGAGCCACGGCTACATTCCTCCACCTGACCGGCTTGTCTATCGCCATCACTACAGCAGTCAGTCTCACCCGTGGCGATAACAGTGTTGATGCCCTGGATGAAGTGCATATCTACCAAGCGGAAAGAATTCAACTCCTCCGAGAATGGTGCAGAGGGGAAAGAAGCAACTGGCTTGATGTCTTGCCGCTGATAGACTTTTCCGCTGGCATCGAAGATGATCAGTTGATCAACCGTCCAGGGAAAGGCGGGAGTGCTGGTCTTATCCTACTAAAGCTTCTTCTATGGACCATCGGGTTTCGTGCTACGGATCAGCGGGATGTCGTATACGGACTGTGGGGGATTCTTCAACACATGGCTAATGCCCAGAGCGTTGACATGCCGAAGCATCTGCAACCAAACTACGACATTAGCGCGGCAGAGCTTCTTGAAAGGGTGGCAAGAGAAATCTTGGAAACATCTGGCACATTGATGCTCCTTACCTTGGTCAAGGGTCCGTCCCGACGCAAGACCCCGGGGCTGCTCTCTTGGTGTCCAGACTTTTCGTCGATTCTCGACAGTCATCCCCTCTGTGGCCCAAAATTCAAATCTGTGGCAAAGGTCAATGCAGGTGGACATGTGTCAGGGATGCTAGATCGACTTTCGCTGAGAACGGAGGATGCAACAATTCACCTGAAAGTAGTCTCGCTTGGCACAGTCGAACTGATTGGCGGGTCTTCTACGGAAATCAAGGACGCAAAGGTCGAGGGGTGGATAAAGATCTTGTCCCGCATGGGTCAAGTCTACCCTCCGACAGCCCAGTCCTCCCTTGAAGCCTTCTGGCGAACACTCATTCACGATGATGACTTTTCTAGTCGCCCGGCTAAGCTTCCTCAGCCCGAGAACTTTCGGGACGTGATCTTGATGCTCATGCTCAAAAGGCTTAATAGGGTGTTTGAAGCTGACGGGATTGAGGCAGTGACGGAGCTTATCCAGTCTTGGAAGGACCTTGGTCTCGACGGTCTGGCCGAGAGATACCCTAATCATATCTACGGTACCAGTTTCTTGAAGTCCTGTTGTAGGTGGATTGGCCTTCTCCCTGAAACAGAAACCGAGCACTTGCTTCCCCCTGAGGAGAGTGCAACATGGAGGCAAAGCCGACACGCCAGTGCTGCCGTGTTCGAGCTGCTACTCGGAGGTACAATATTCTTTCGCCGCATCGCCCTCACTTCTGGGGGACACCTAGCCCACGCTTCTGAGTCTATGTCCACTGGAGATGAAGTATGGATAGTTTCTGGGTGCCCTTCTCCCCTAGTATTGCGGAGGGTGGGATCGGAGAGGGGCCGTTATTGCCTTATTAGTGAGGGTTATGTCCATGGAGCAATGAATGGGGAGATGGTCACAAACGGCGTTGAATGGCAAGATATTACTCTAGTCTAGTTATAGGCAAGAATATACCAGGCCGCATCTTTGAACGGAGGCAATGCTAAATAGGTGCTAGACGGCTATCAAGGCAACAATGGGTTGAAATAAATATGAACAATCAGACAACGGAAGGGAAGTGAATAACAGCATTTGGCAGTAACCGTCAGCCTGGCCCAGTGGCAGCTTAGCCACCACAGGTTTCCCAACATGCCGCCGATACCTCTACTCAGGACCATCTTTGCCCGTGTACTCCCAAACTCTATAACCAGCAACTTCAGTTTCAATCTTTCCATCGTCATATTTGACGCACATGTTGTGGCGCTCGCTGCTCTGAGGGACGAAGCCTGTCTCGCCGACAGCTCCTGCTATGTTCTGAAGACTCACGTAGCACCTGTGGTAGATCGGCAGATTATCGCTCCGATCGAACTGCTCATAGAACTCTGCTTAGAGTAGCGGGGGCATCAGGGACAACCCTGGGACATTGAACCGGCATCTAACCACCCACACTCGGACCAACAGCAAGTTGCAGACAAGATAGATCATTAGCTCGTACACCTCCTCCTCTGCCATTTTTACGGATCCGCATTTTCAATGCCGAGTCAGGCCTTGATATCCACCAGCTGTTATGGGTGAAGTATCGAGCAGCCGATATGGAGCCCTGAAGTTGGTGGTTAATCCTGCTGCGCAGAGCACCACGGAGATTGAATGACGTCACATCGGCAAGGTGGAGGATATTTTTAGGTGCAACTGGAATAAGGTGCAACTGGAATAAGGTTAATCCTACCGTCGGTTGCGCAACGCGTCAGAACGCGTGCAGCCACCAGCATTGTATTGCCAAGAAGGGGGGGGGCTCTAATCCAACTGCGGTTAGCGCCAACATGGGACTTGAGAGCTAGTCATAAGTTACTAACAAATCGTCGGCTACTCCGACGCAGTGGCTGATAGTGCCCTAACAGGGCGTCGTGATTCGGAGATTCACAACCTGAGAGTTGAAAAACCTACTGATTTGGGTGAATGTGATGATAAAAAGCGCAACATAGAAGTCACATGCATCTGAAGAATGATTCTAAAACCTATGTTCTAGGAAAGCTTTATCTCTTCTTATTATAAAGAAGTAGAAAACGAAAAGCTGAGCCACTTATCGGCGTATTTTTGGAAGCAAGAATGCATTTCCAAAGCCAGGCTACATCTTGAGTCCACCTACCCTGCCGACCCGGTCACCACGAACGCGATGCCTGCCATGGCCATCCCAGCACGTGCTATCTCCCTTCTCACTTTAAGTTCCAATTACTACCGAAATCTTTTACTATGCCTTGCAAAGAATATCATTTTCCTGCGCGAAAGCTCCCATTATGCTTTCGACAGGGCCTGGACCAATTAGGGCTAGTGCCTCCCTTCAGCTAGGTACTTAGCTTGCGATGAGACATTAGCACAATGACACTGATATAAATGCCAACTCAGATAGTGTACTAGCAGCGAGAGAGTATGGCTCTACTGGGACCAGTTGGTGTTTCTGCATGCTTGGAGTCCATAATATGGTCACATTCTAGGCTTCCTCATAACATAAGAGCCTTAACAAAGTTCACTTTAGATCTTTCGCGGAAAAGCTGAGAGGTAATAGAGCCTGGTGGCATGCTCCTGATTAGGAGTTGTGGCGTGGAGTATCCGCGCCACACCCTGGCCCTACCATGGCATGTGGCTCAGCCTGCCTCCTTTGAGACTGGCAACCTGTGTTTCACAAGCGCAAGGGGTGTTCTGAGGGAAAAAAGGGTCATGAAAATGCCCTGAACTTTTGTGTGAATTAGTGGGAGAATGGCAGTTAATTAACCCCGAGATGAGATGCTAAAGGAGTCTCCACAACTTGTGTGTACTTTGATTGATATGCTATACTACTAGATTTCTTAATAAATCATAGAGTCCTCTAGTTGTGAGAAAAAACTGAATGCCTTTGGGAGGTTAGCAATCACCGCCGACTCGATCCAGGCAGCACTCACCGAAGAATCAAGATCGAGCCAATCTGTTGGTTGCCACTGGCTCAATGCATTCAACATGGACTGAAAGCTAGTTGTTGATTCGCCTTGATCACCAAACATTGAACCAAGTTCATCATCAAGCATTGAACTTGACCTATGCTCGTCATCACCACTCGCCATTAGTGTTTCTTGCTGGGATTGCACCGCTCGTATGGAGCTCTGGGAAGGACTGTGCCTCGCTTCTTGTCGTAGCTCTTCGATGATGATGCTGTACCTCCGACTTGCGGAATCGGATGATATGGCTTTTGCGAGATGACTCTGGCATCGCTCGGCCAAGGCAAACAGCGAGATATTGTCATTGCTCACCGAGATGCCTGATTTCTGTTGGATCTCCCAGACGTACACAACAGCCAGCGCGCAGAACGTGACGTAAGGCATCCACCAAAGGAAATGAATGACAGTGGTGGCCTCGGAGAACATTCGGTCAACAATCTCAAGGGCCAGTTTCGCCGCGCCGATGCACTCTGTCACACATGCCTCCAACGCCGGACTGGCATTCTCCGAATGATCCAAGAGGAACGGACGAGTAGTATGCATGATCGCGTGACAATACGCCAGCTTCAGAGCTGTGACTTGTCTGGAGAATGCTGGTATGAGGCTCGAGGGTCGGACGGTTCCGAGGTGAGGTGGTAGGGCTTGTCGCCATTCGTGCAGTTTCTCGGTGAAGCTCTGTGCCGATGCGAGACGCTCTTCGGTGCGCATCTTTTTGATGGAGTAGACTTCTCGAGATACGTTTTCGATGATTGCTGCAATTCTATAGTACTGTTAGCTCTGTCGAGTAGTTGATCTGAAGAAGGAATACGGACCTCGCATGGAATATGAGAGAATCAATATGACAATCCATCGCTGGTTCTGACTGAGATGGCCCTTGGGGTGTCATGTCCTCGTCGTTGACCCTGTCAGGATATTCTTGATCGATGTCATTGTCGTGGTAGAACCTAGGCCGGCCGAATACCACCGCGAGGTATTTGTCGATAGTGTAGGCAACCCAGAAAGTCCTCTTTCGACATTCGGATATGATGTAATCCACCTGTGGGCGACCTCCGTTACGATAGCGGTGAGATTTGCGATGTAGACCTAGCGCAGACACAATGGGTACCGTGTTACCGAATACATACCAGGCCTGATTCATGCGCGAGGTCTGGAGCAGATACAGCACCTGCAGAATTCTCGCCTGGGCTGATTCCAACCGAGGCAATCCAGTTTCCCTGGCAGTGAGGTCTGACGCTGAGAGGAAGTACCGTTCGCTCTGCTGCAGTGGAAAGGAGGTTCCCTCGTCGGCGGAGAACGTCTCGGATATCTTGTGCTGACGAAGGCTTGCAATGGCCAAGATATTCACAACGATCGCCGCTTTTGCATGGCCTAGCCCAACTTCCAGAGGTTGGCCGTTGTGGACATTGCTCAGGACATGCCCAAGCCAGGAGTGGCAGTATTGCTGGTTCAAGACACGATATGTCACAACACAGTTGTCGAAGTAGAACTTGAAGAGTTCATAGGCTGCAGCTTGGTCGACAAACATAAGGCCGCCTTCGTTACTTGTGCTGAAAGGCTTGTCTCCGGCTGATATGAGCGGCTGAAGGTTCTCAGATCCGGTCAAGACACCGGGTTCTGCCTGCTGAGTTTGGAGAGCAAGCCTTTTCCACGCCCGGTGGATGAATGTGAGGTTTGAAGTAGGGTCGAAGAATTGGCCTTCGATTTCGGCCGTCTCTAGCCCTGGCGGACCTTGAGAAGTGGCGCGCGAGGCCAAGGTTTCGTCTGCGAAGAATGCGTTCTGTTGATGACTGAAAGGTTGGCCTATAGTCTCTAGTACGCGTCACTTAGGCTTACCTGCTCTCCGGACTCATGTACATGTCAGGTCGTGGCAACACAGGAGGAGTCGGTGGCCTCCCTCTCCGGTACTGGGTGTCATAATGACAGTCGATGCTCTTCTTGGAACATCCATCGCATGGTAATGTGCCGGTGCATTTGAGCTTTTTGACCTTGCAGTGATCGCATGCTCGTCTGGTCTTGGGGCCCTTCCGGCGATTTTCGGATTCACGACGCGTTTCTGGCGATTTTGGGAGAGATCGCTTTGTACCGGCGATAGATGAAGTTTCGGAGAGAGGAGTGGAAGCATGGACGGAGCTGGGGGTCGTCATCGTGGCTCATTCTGCGTTTCCGGATTAGGGAGGCCGGAGAACTGGGTGAGCATCTCGGAGACTGGAGAGTGGAGCAGTCATGGGTGTCCGGAAACGCGGGCGAGACCCGTACTTTATACAGATGGCTCTCCACTAGTTTGTGAAAACGCGGGGGCGACATCGGCACTAGTTTCCGGTGAGGGGATGGTCGACACCATCAATAGCTTCCTGCATACGAACTAACCCAGTGCAGGGCAGAGTGAGCTGACTCGAAGTTCTCTTTTTACTGGCTTAATGTGAGGTTTTCTGTAAAGGTATGAAGCCAGGATGTGAAGGCTGTGACCAAATCACCTGAATGATGAGATCATGTTCAGAAGTCGAGACTCGCTACGGGCGGTCACTGTTAGTCGTGATCAACTCTGACGAAGTTGTCATGATTATGAAAATTGAGTTCTAAATATAAGATCACGATAGTTTTGCATATTCTCTGCGTATATTATTGACAAACCGACCCATTGCCCTTGGAGGGTAATGGTAAAGTGGACTCTTCTAATGTAGGACATCTCGAGACAGCAGAGCCCCCTTTCGAAGGCGACAGGTCTGGGAGCGAGCCACACGGCGCCATATTACCAAATAATTGACCCTAAGGCTTGAAAAAAGCAAAGGAATAAGAGCTACTCATTGTCGATCAAGAATGGCCCAGTAATCTAGTCTTGTTGGGTGCCACAGTGCATGTAAATTATGATCACGGAAATGAATTGTCTTAAACGCACTCTGGGCTCCTCTTCAACTGATTTAGACTTAGATGGAATCAAGAATTTACACTGGGCTTAATAAAAAAATACGAAATGTCTATTATTAACTCTACATCAATCTTATCTAGGCAACCTTGCTGAGAGATGCTGATGAGATGGCCTCGTGGATCTCCTCCTCAGCACCATCGGGGAGCGGCAGGAGGGGAGATCGCACGGTGGCATGTGACAGAATTCCCCGGGCAACGAGCGCATGCTTAAGGGCAACGGTACCCTCCATATGCGAGCCGCGGTGGTAGACAGCCTTGGTGACGGGGAGGAGCTGGTCGTGGATCTCGCGGGCCCTCTTGTAATCTTGAGCTTTGCCAGCCTTGATGAGCTCAATGAGAGGCTCAGGGGCAATGTTTCCATATCCGACGAGCATACCATCCACGTCGAAAGCAGTGTGGAGAAGATACTCGTCGTGACAAGTGAGGACGGGAACGTTGGGGCGCTCGCGTCGGAAGACAGGGATCTCCGTGTCCCAGCGGCGCATGTTTCGGACACCGTTCTTCATGGCAACAACACCAGGGAGGGCAGCAATGTCGAGGAGAGTCTGGAGGTTGTAGGTGGCCTTGGTGTTGTCGGGATATTGGAAGAGAATGAGGGGAAGCTTGGACACTTCATAGACAACCTTGTAGCGATTCTGAGGAGCACCAGGCTGGTAGCCAAATCGCAGCCAGCCGTGAGAAGGGTACAGAAGACCAGCTTGAGCGCCAGCTTCCTTGGCACGCTTGGCCTCGAGAGCAGCAACCTCAGTACCCTCACCAGTGATACCAGCGATGATGGGAACCTTGTTGTTGACCGACTTGACAAAGGCCTTGATGACGTCGACCTGCTCCTGTTGGGTCAGAAAAGTACCTTCTCCGGCGTGTCCAAGAACCACGAGGCCCTTGACGCCGTCGATGCTTCCGAGCCAGGCGCCAAGTCGCTGGATGGCGTCGTAGTCGACCCGCCCGTCCTTGGTGAAGGGGGTGACAGGGGCAGGAATGAGACCCTTGAGATCGAGAGACATGATGGGCAAGTTGGAGATGTTTTTGTGGAGATATGAGAGTGTTTTTATGGTGTAGAAGCTGAAGTTGTTGTGATGATGTTGGTGATGTTGGATTGAGAGATGGTTACCTTTGAGTCTGAATACCTTCTTTTATAATGAATCAACTGAAGAGCAGCTCGCGACTCGGCCTCTGAACACAAGGCCGATCATGTTCAAAGTCTCTCATCTTCTCCGAAGAGACCCGGAGTTCAAGGTGAAAGTGAAGCCATTACTGAGGGCAGTCTTGCCACCATTCGCGCCAAGATGACATTTCCGGAGGGAGTCCGAAGAGGCTTCTCGGAAACGCTCTCGGATTCCCGGATTCCCCTCTCATGTGCCTCGGGACGGCGCCAACAAGCGGCAATCAACCTCTCCACCATTTCAACGCGGTGACAGTCTTGGATCACGCCCTAGACTAGCAGACCTTGCCAAAAGTTTCTTGTCCGAGCATCGGGGTCGACCCATCCCCCGCTTCCCCGGATACGCCTCTCCGCACTTGGAGTCAGAGATTCTGGGGAACTCGGATGAGTCCAGAATTTGCAAAGTTCCAGTGGTCTCATTTCGTCTCTGACGGTAGTTTGTCTGGTGAAGCAGGGATCTGTGAGATCGCCTGTTATAAAGATCGATCCGGCTGCCCCGTCCTTGCTCTCTCACCCCAGGCTCTACCGCCCAACACTCTTGTTTTCACATTTTTCAAGTCTACGAAATTCAATCATGGCTACCCAGATTGATGTCGAGCGTGTCTCGCACGAAAAGTCTGGCATCATGCACAGCGAGCACCAAAGGGGCGGTCTCTCGGAGGGAGACTTTGACTTCCTTAGGACGTTCCCGGAAGATCGCAAGAAGGCCATCATCCGCAAAGTTGATGTAGGTCGATCGTTCAATGTTGTCTAGAAGTGTTTGGCTAACGGTCTGTAGCTGAGATTGGTCCCAATGCTGGTGCTGTTGTATCTGATCGCGTACTTGGATAAGACCAACATTGGTGAGTATCTTGAGTCGTGGCGTGGCGGCGTGGCTAACAGGTGGTAGGAAATGCCAAAATCGAGGGAATGACTGAGGATTTGGAGTTGAAGGGCATCCAATACAACATTGTCGTGGCCATCTTCTTTATTCCTTTCGTCCTGTGTGGTAAGTCTGTCAATGTGCAAGAAGCAGAAGAACCTTTGGACTAATCTCTACGCAGAGGTCCCCTCCAACATGCTCCTTCACAAGTTTAAGCGACCCTCCTGGTACATAGGAGGAATTGTCTTTGCTTGGGGTACCATCATGACCTTGACCGGAATCGTTCAGAACTACGGTGGTCTTCTGGCTATTCGCTTCTTGCTTGGTATCTTTGAGTAAGTCGACGATCCTTGGCAAAAGACGACTCAACTAACCTCCTGATAGAGCAGGTTTTCTCCCCGGCGCGATCCTTATCATCTCCAACTGGTATCTTCCCAACGAGACACAAGTCCGAATCGCGATCCTCTACACATCGGCTGCTACAGGTGGAGCCTTTTCTGGCCTTCTTGCATTCGCCATCGCCAAGATGGACGGCGTGGCAGGTCTCGAGGGCTGGCGATGGATCTTCATCATCGAAGGTCTGTTCACAGTTATTGTCGCTATCATGTGCGTCTTCCTCCTCTGCGACTCGCCTGCCCTGTCTACACGATGGCTCGACGCCGACGAGATCCGATACCTCGAACTTCGCCAGCTTAGCCGCCGTGCCACCATGCCAGGAGACTACAAGGATAACCACAGCCATTTCAACTGGGCAATCTTCAAAGATATTCTCTTTGACTATAAGATCTGGCTCCTTTTCTTCGCCAACTGGTCCAACGCTGTACCCAACTACGCCATGAAGTTCACCATGCCCAGCATTCTGAAGGGAATGGGCTATACTTCTTCCCACGCACAGCTGATGACGATTCCTCCGTATGCTGTGGGCGCCATCTCGGCCTACGTGTTTGCAATCTTTGCCGACAAGTATTCCTGGCGATATCCCTTCATCCTCGGCCCCCAGTGCTGTCTCGTCACCGCCTTCATCATTCTCTTTGCCAAGTCTGGGGACGTCGAAAATAGCATTGCTGCTTGCTACTTTGCTGTTTGCTTGGCATGCTTTGGGTAAGTCTCTTCCTTTCACGATGGAGTATTTATTCTAACGACATGACAGCATGTATCCTATTCTCCCTGGCGTCAATGCCTGGAATGTCGCCAACACTCCTGATCCGGCGAAGCGATCAGTCAACATTGGTCTTCTTGTCTGTGTTGGAAACATTGGTGGCCTGATTGGATCATACATCTACCTCGATCGAGAGGCTCCGCGATACCCAACTGGATATGGCACATCCCTTGCTTTTGGACTTGCTGGCATCATCGCGGCGACATTGTTGGAGTTCCTACTCAAGCGAGACAATTCCAGGAAGGCTCAGATGTCTGAGGACGAGATCCGAGAGCGATACACTGATGAAGAGTTGATGCAGATGGGAGAGAAGAGTCCCCTCTTCAAATGGGCTCTGTAATGGATGAAATACACACCTAGGCACTGATGAGGACTATAATTCTCCGATTTTCAGTAGTAGAGGGGGGAAAGCTACTTGAAGTGGCTTTTAGACCAGATCAGACACCAGTGTGTGGTCTATATTCGCCCTCAGAAATGAGTGTGCATTTGAAAGGGAAGGGGAATGAAATCGAACCCACAGAGATGGAGGTCTTCTTTTGGCTAGATAATTGGCAGGAATTAATAACACCTGTTCTGCGCATCTGAGGTCCAAATGTCCTGAACAGCTGGCATCGTGAACAGCAGGTCTTTGGACGGCGAACTCGAAGACCGTCGGCGGGTTTCCCTCCTTGATTGCATCGGCGGGAAGCTGAAGCTCGCTTGTGGCGAAACTACTCCATCTCAAGCTTCGGATGGTCCGAGGCTCGAGTCGGATGTTGATCTGGTGGTTTAGAGCCATCGAAGGAGGCTCCATCTTCGGCCCAAAGTAGGTGGCGGAAGTTTTCGGCTCTTTGGGGATCATGATCTTACTAGACTAGTACGGGTATTAGGTGAGGATTAGTAGCAAGAAATATTAGACTATTAGTAGTAATAATTTATGATAATTTAGAATGTTATATAGCGCTTGGTGTGCCGGCCAAAAACATGCTTGCAGGCCGAGTATGAGACACGGCGAGTTGATATTCCTCGATGAAGATGGTGCTATCTCTATGCCTGAAACGTTGGCCCCTTCTTTGATAGGAGACGTCTTGTTCTTGACTGCTGCCGGCCTGGTCCTCTTGATAGCGCCAAGAAAACGACCCGTTTCAGGGAGGTCAAGTCCGTTAACTCCTGGTCCGAGGGAGAGAAGGGTTCCATCTAGGAGATGGTCCACCTTGTCTTCTCAAAGCAGGAGGTCACAGCCATTCCCCGACTCGCGGCAATTGGCCGAGCGTTCAACTTGGTGTCAATTGCCAACACCACCATCGCCGAGGTCGATCTCGCTGTCTTTGGTTGAAGTTTGCCTCGATTCGAGGTCAAGCTCCTTCACCAAGCCTCCGGCCTGCCAAGACTTCCAATCTTGGGGCGAGTCTCACTAAGGAGCAGCTTTTGAAGCTTCAAGAGGTCAATGATAAGCGTGCCTTGCAGCGATGTGGCTAGGTGTGACTCTTCTGCTGCTGCAGAAGTTTAAATAGGCCACTGTGTTAACATCGGGTCATGATGTTATAATGTGTTCAAGATCTGTTCTTTATTATAGTTGCAGTCCGGCCCTTGATGGGTTAACTGAGCCCGAAGATCGTGCCTTGCAGCGAGACGTCGCTCAAGGATAATCTCTGGCTTCTCTTGCGGCGGATGCATTCAAACCCATTCGCCGCATCAGCTTCCTTGGCCGACACCGTGAGGAGCTGCAGAGGGCAATCCTCGATTGGGTTCATGGCAAAGACAGAGTAGCTTCCATGGATGTTCTCAGCACGGATCCCCTTGGCATCCTGTCGATTCTTGGTTTTGATGGTTCCGGTAAGACTGACTTGATGGCTACGACAATCCTGCTTGCGATAGGTGTAAGACCTGTCATTGTCTGCACACCGACCCACGCTGCTGCCAGCAATATTGCCGCGCGTGTGAACAAGCTGGCTTCCCTCGCCTACGGGAAAGTCAAGGAGCCAATGCCGGTTGTCGTCCGAGGATTCTCGTGGAAGGTGGATGAGCTATGTGGCAAGGCCTATGCCCTGGGAGAAGGACCGGTTGATGCAACTCATGACAACTGAGAGCATCCACTGTCTATGATTGACTGGATGCAGAGAGTCTTCAAGCCAGCGTTGTACAAGCTGGCCAAAGACGTGGAGAAGGACACCAAGATCATGAATCTCAAGGACACCCTCCAGAAACGAAAGGGTTGGAATGTTGAGCATAGCCAGACCTTCCGAGACCTTGCCACCCGGATACTGCAGGTCGCTGATGTTGTGTGTTGCACCACGCACGCATCTACCAATGATATTCTCGCAGACTGGGCATGGGACAAAGCAATGTCCACATTCCCTGATGAAGCCGGCGCCATGTCGATGCCTGAAGCCTTGGTCCCTTGTTTCGACGGGAGACCTCTTGTTCTTACTGGCGATATTCGACAACTGCCGCCTTGCGTGATGACCTTGGGCAGAAGAGCTGGACAGGCGGCCCTCTCAACTTATTCAATAAGCATCAAGAGATCTCGGTTCTGGAGTGCGTAATGCGCATGCAATGGCCGTGCTGGAGCTCACAGCGTCAGGACCGTATCGTCAATGGGGGGTTCGATCTGGCAAGGGAGATCTTCTACCCGGAGCTTGGCGACAAGTTTAAATACGGCGACCAATGTGCCGTTGGCAAACGACCCGGTGCTCCTCAACTTGAAAGCTGGGTACGTCGGCAATTCCCCGAAATCAAGTCCTCTCTAACGGGAAAGATCTGGCCCGTCTTCATCAACTGCCTTCATACGGCAGTGAGAACCATTGACACTTCCCGTGTCAACTACGGGCAGGCAGAGATAGCGTTGGCGCTGATGGAGACGCTCACCAAGGCGCATGGGACCAAGTTTGTGGTGGTTTCGCCCTACAGGGCCACCAAGGCCAACCTCGAGGGGCTTATGGGGCAGCGGCTGGATAAGAGCACCAAGGACTCGGCCCTTTACAAGGGTATTTCTAATGCCGAGGTCAGCGCCGCCGACTCCTTCCAGGGCAAGAAAGCAGACGTGGCAATCTTCTTGACTACGGTGACCAAGGAGTCCGGCCCAGGATTCGTCATAGATGCTCGGCGATTCAACGTTGGTGTAACCCGCCATGTCGACTTTCTGTTTGTGGTTGGTGACATCACTACGATGGACCCCGTCTAGGAGAGCAAGGAAGAACTCATGCTGTCTGAGCAGAGAGGATGGGTGCTGACAAGTGGCAAGATGAAAGGTTAGGATATGCACTAATGATGATTAACGAACACTTATTCATCTCAAGTAGAGACAGTATTGGCCAAGGGGGCATGAATCACGAGAACAGTGGGTTCCTTGAAAAATAATTTAACCTCATAGCATACCTCGAGGGCAGATCAAGGCAACCCAGTCAGAGAGGTACAGTTTTACACAAACAGTGGGTTCCTTGACTACGTAGTTGATAGGGACTGATCACTCTTATCTCTTGCCTTGCGGTATAACATTGGCGACAACATATGATGCTTTGCCCCCCTCTGTGTAATGTGGGTGAATAGATAAGAGATCTCATCCCCCACGGGGAGCTAAAATCGGACAGTAGCCAGTGGCTTGCAAGCTCCTCCTTGATGCGGGAGCTGCAGGTGACACAGCGGGCGACATTGCCCCAACACTCTTATCGTTGGCAGAAAGCCAATCTGACGTGATAAATCCTTTTCTCTGGATAAAGCTCGACAGGAGGCCAGGAATGTGAGTGATATGTATCAGCGCTCCTCATTAGGTATCCTATGAAGCATCTGGCGTGTGTCAGATTACAACCAGATCGCCGCATGAGCGTGGAACTGATGTTGAGACAAGAGATGCCAACGGTCAGACCCCTCTGCGGTGGGTCACGACAAAAGGCAATGAGGAGATTGCCGGCATGTTGGTTGAGAGTACGAACTCTAAACGGACATCGCCAACAACCAGGGACCCACGCGTGTGGAACACATCAGGGGAGCGAATTGCCGTTTTGAGATGCAAGACGTGGGTTTTCAGAATGCCTTGCACTCTTTCGATGGGCCGAAAGGAACGGGTTCCCGATCTCATGTCGATACATGCCGATAACCAAGCCTAGACTCTGGTTACTCGGCAGCTTCTTTCTTTCATCTCATGTTCGCCAAGGCAGCTGTTCTGATTGTCCCCAGTCTCAGCCGGCGCATGGACCGCTTCCTAGAGAGCTGCCAAACGCTATTCAAAGACCCTTGGTGTAAGGATGTCTCGGGTGCGAAGCTTCAGGCATGAAGACGGTTAGACGCATCGGAAGTGTCACCCGATTTGACCCAAGCTCACCAGTTACGCATGAGTCCCTAAGAAGCACCTTGAGTCTCGGGGTCCAAGCACACGGTTGACCTCATCCGTATCCTGTTAGTGGTTTCTCTAAGCGAGAGACTTGCCTGCCACGATCATGAACTTTAGAAGTTGGTCCCGCCAAGGGGCGCTAGTAAAGCCACACAGTCAAAGCAGAGCAGGGGTGAGCGAGTCAGTCAAGAATGGACCCTGGGGACCTCCAGCTCTGGGCATTCAGTGGTGGGGAATTACTCGATATTCACGGGGTAAACCCCGCATCAACAAAAGCTGAACTGACGAACCTTGGCGAGGAGCCAATATCGGGCTCAGGCCCCTTCTATCATAAGCTAGTTCCTGTAGACTGACAAGGCCGGGGCTGCCGGCAATTCAGGATGAACTCCGGAGTATGTGTCACCTCCCACTCAGGGGTACCCTTATGTACTACGTACAGATGGTCTGGCTTGATGGCGCCATGTCCACGTGGATGTAGCTAAAGTGACAGACGCCAACGGTTCTTCAACCGGAAACGGGAGCCGCACTGACTCTCTCCCCTGACAGATGGCGTTTTCTGTGACAAGCCATCCTCCGGAACCGCAAGACTAGCTTAAGCGACCCTGACCTAACGGGCTTTACCAAACCGTCTTTGGGTCGGCCGAGGTGGTTAGGAACGGTTCATCAGCAGGCAATTTCCAGGTGACACGTCCAGGCCACGTGTGGTAGGGGGATATAATTGCAGCACAAGCCTTCTTTGTTGGCCTGGGTGGTGACGCCCGTATCTTGAATGAACCACAACCTCACCATGGCGTTGACGTCGGATCTCGCCTTCGATATTACCGTTACGACGATCTGCGGATCGCTGATCCTGCTCCGATGCGCATACCGAGCCTTTCGTCGATGCAAAGTACACCAAACCTGCCACAGGACATGGCACGAAGACGATGTCTGGATGGCCTTCTCGCTTCTACCCCTCATCGCCAGAACGACCTGCATCTGCGTATCCTTCACCCTCAACCCAAGTCACGGTCGGGACTTTCCAACTAAGGATGAGGCTGCTTCGCAAGGGATGAGTGTCGAGAACATACAAAATGATCGGATCACGTCGCTTCAGTTACTAATTCCGTCGCGTCTCTGCTACGCCCTCTTGTATGGTCTCGTTGGAATATGGTCCTTTGGTTGATGCTAACCGGCATAGTTTGTGGTGTCTTAAGCTTAGTCTCCTCTCCTTCTACTCCAGATTCGTCAGCAGCAAGGCTGTGATCAGAGCTTTCTGGTGGTGCATCGTCCTCAGCTACATTGCAGTGCTTATCACCACCCTGCTAGAGTGTCGACCCATGTCTTTGTAAGGTACCTGGTGGGTGCTCATCGACTACACTGCTAATATTGCTAGGATGTGGGAGCTTGGTCCTAAGAGTTCACGTATGTCCCATGCTAGCACCCCCCATCTACCGTTCTTGCGACACGGCAAAGTTGACAATTTACAGAACCTGCTTGCTCTAGAGCCTTTGCCAACTTGATCACGATGGGCGTCTTCAACATAGTCTCCGATATCGCGCTTATTGTCCTACCTTTTCCCACGCTGCGAACCGTGCAACTGGATCTGAAAACGTTGTTTCGCTCTCAAGTTTCACGCTTCCTTTGCTAACAACATCTTAGCAAACTCCAACTTGGATTCCTATTCAGTCTTGGTGGCGTAGTAATTGTGATTACGACACTGCGTCTACCTCTCATCCTGAACCAATCGTTATCGCAGAAGTCTCGATCAATTGTGCGACAACCTCCCCGTCTCTTGAAAGGCTTGGCTGTTAATGTGACTACAGTGGGCCGCCGTTGAAATCCTTTGCGCTTGCATAGTTGCCAACACATCTTTCTTCTACGCCCTCCTTCGAGATCTTCAGCGACGACACGATACTCAAACCTCAGCAACACGAAGTCAAATAGGCCATTTCTACCTCCAAAGTCTAGATTCAACCAAAAGACCCTATGAGAACACCACATCCAAGGCTACTGGTAGTGATGGCGAGCTGATAGAGGGTCGCCAGGGGTTGGCATGTTGATGAAGAAGCGAGACTGCTGACTACCTAGAAAGAGTACAAGTTCTGTAGGGTATCTACTCTGTCGATAATACACTAAATAATAATTCCTGGTTAATGATAACTCACGCCGGATGTGGCTCATTATGTTGATATTGCTGTTTAGATTAAGGATTTCTACGTATCAGATTTGATCACCGCAAGCTCTTCAACGGTATAGCTAGTTGTCGGCACATATTTGTTTTCACCCAGACACTACCCAACGGCCTCATCATAGTTAGATCCAACATTCACAAGAATGTGATCCTGTCAGTTTTGAGTCGACATGAGATCAAAAACATCAACGTCCTTCGCGTCACTGCGCTGGGCCATTCTCTCTGGCACGGCTACTCCACAAACACCTTTCCGGAACAGCCTCCTCACAACTTGGAGTTGAAAGTGACATGAAACAGCGTTAAACAGCAGCTCGATCTGATTGGTCAGGGCAACGGTCAGCAACCCCACTTTAGAGACGACGCGACGCGCTTCTCAAAGACCGTGTTCCGTGATGCCTTCATTTCATCATATCAAGATTCTTAAAGGCTACCCAAGGCGCCCTGCACAGCATCAAAACTCCCTATCGTCCGCCTTATCCTCTCTCAACATTCCCAACAGACCAGAGAAAAAGCCATGGACTCTAATCACGTCTCGTTCTTGAATCTTCCACAAGAGCTCGTTGACCGCATTTTGGACCATTTACCGCTCGAGTCCGTGCAAAGCCTTAGGCTGGTAAACAAGACTGCGTGTGTATTGGCCTCTGGACTACGATTCCATGGCTTCCTGTCGCGCCAGACGACAAATCTTACGCCCTCAAGCCTATCCTCTCTCGAAGCTCTCCGCAGACACAACTTACTGGGCCGTCATGTCCGCCATGTGCGAGTCATGGCTGAGACGCTTGCGATTACTTCAGCTGAGCAACTGCAGGCTACTGGGCTATGTTACCCACCTGAGTCTACCCTTGCGAACCGACATGGTGATTGTGTTGTCACCCAGTTGGAGGGTCCAACTCAGTGCACCGAACTGCAATCAAAGAAGTTAGAATGCAATCTCGAGTGGATGAAGGCTCACAGAAACTCATATGACCTCCCAGTCTCAGCGGAGGATGAGATCATCAACCGACTTGCGTCGGTCTTCGAATGGCAGGAAGATTCCTCACTGGATACCATAGAGCTGGATGCACGTTTCGTGGACGGGCTGGGTCTATTCTCGAGACCTGTTGCTCGCCACATCGAACACCCAGACAGGCAGCAACTCTGGGCCTGGGCTTCGCGAGTTTACCGATTGACAATGACAGCCTTGTGCCAAAGCGGCGTCAAAATTCGCAATTTGTACATATTCAGCAACACGACAGGTTGCAGTGTTCCATCTTACGATATAACGGTCGGACTACCAGGACTGCTTAGTCTCGGTCTTGCTGGATCATTGAGTCTGCTCAAATGCGTATCCTTGAGTTTCTCCACCCGAATGGACCACGGTTGGGATCAGTTGGAAAGGGTCTATGGCCAGAAGGTTGGTAGTCGGGAGAGACGCCGGCAGCGAATACAGTGGCAGCAGATCTGGGACGAGGTTGACTGGCAGGACATTCACGGCGTCGCAACGGAAGATGAGGCAGACACTGATGATAGTGACTGGGACTCGGATCCGGAGCATGATTCTGGTATTCCTGTTGAGAAAGGGTCCGAGATACGGGGTCGCTACGGGGACACTATGCCGCAAGCCCTCTGCCGAGACAACTTTCCCGGCATCGCCCTTCTTCTGCGACATATGCCCAACCTTGAGACGTTGGACCTGCATATGTTCCAAACTCTAGAGTATGAGTCCTACAATGGAGGGTGCAGACTTGACAAATACAGCGCAGTCTTCAAGCTCATCGCCGAGTTGGGTCCTCATTTCCCTTTACTGAAGACTCTGGTAGTTCGTGGTCTTTGCATTGATTCCAGCGACTTGCTGCTTTTCATGGAGCGTCACCCCAATCTCGAGAATCTCGAATTGCGCAGCGTTGCACTTAGAGGCGCAACAAGGCAGACGTCATGGAATAGCATCTTGAGCAAACTATGCCACAACGCTGTTCGTCAGGGTAGTGCGCTTTCTAGGGTCTTCTGCTCGAACATCTACATCACGCAGTTCTGGCTAAGGGACCCTTTGCACTATCAGTTGAACTTGCTGCGGCGAAACGAGACTCCTAAAGAAGAATGGATTGAGAGGTGGTGGCTAAGGAGACGAAAGCTGGTACAGAGAAGGCGATTTGGATCATTCATGCTCTCCACCCGGGAGGTTCTCAGGGATGATTTTGAGCTTGACGACGTGTTTGGGGAGGTTGCCGATGTGCCAGAAAGCGATGCCCTGAAGAACGTCAATCTTGACAACTTCCCCTCCAAGGAGCTGATAATGTTGGAGGAAAACTCCTATGGAAGAACGTATGGCTAATGGTGGACGGTCTGATAGAGGAGTCCCAGCCTACGATCACATCACTGCCTATCAAGCCTTTACTGCAACATCGTTGTGGCTACGATTGTGATAAAAAGACCATCCAAGTACTGGCACATTACTTGACTTAACTAGAGTGCCGAGTGGGCAAGGAGCGAAACGAAATCCCTCCTAGACATAGCCTTTGCCCGCAAGAGAACTTTCTCACACAGTTCGGTCGCACACGGCATTTAGAAAGTGTGAAGGTAGTCACCGATGAAGTTGTTGCCCAGCTTGCTGACAGCATCAGCAATCTCTCCAGCACCGAACTGCCTCGCAAGGATCTTGGCCCACTCGGCAGCTTGACCCTGGACAGTGGTAATCATGAAGCGGTGCTATCAGTGTTGGTGAGTTTTCCCGGGTCATGACACGCAGAAGAGCTGCTTACCTGGTAGGGCTTGTTGTCCTTGTCATGGAGGGCCACCCAGCGGCCATCGCCATTCTTGTTCTTCTGACCGTACTGGAAGCGGTCGTTGATACTGACAATCCAAGAGTCTGGGTAATGCATTGGCCAGCATGCCTTCACCAAGGGATTTACTAAGGTGTGCACTTACTGCCTTCCCTCCTGGCAATCTTGCCAATGTAGTCATTGCTACCTTCGTCCTTGTAGAAACGGTCCTGGACGAAAAGAAGGACGTCGACGTTGCATTTGGACTGGTTCTGGGCTCGGACGACATAGTAGCGGGCAGTGCGGGTGCGGAAAGACTGAGACCACTGGATGTCCAGGGTCGCCTGCTCAGACTCTGCACTATAGGCAGGGATGATTAGAACATCGCCATTCGTGGGGTAAGACATTATGAAGACTTGGATGATGAGAGAAGTGTTGAAGTAAGATGAGGTTGATAGTGAGTAAGGACTAGATGTCTTTGTTGTTGGGAGAGATTTATGCTGAAGATGGAGAGGTTTATGTACGCTGATTGTCCAAGTACTTCACTTTTACAGATCAATAAGAACACATATCTTTCAGGCTTCTCGGCATTTGACGAACGCAAATACGTATGTTGCTGGTGCTGGAAGCCCCTTGGCTGAACAACTCCTCCATCACATGGCGCAAGATCGTGATGAGCCCCTCTTGCTTGGAATGAGATTGCCCAGCTCGCCACTTCTATACTCGGTTTCCACTGATTCCAGGTCTAGACTTCATAGGCCCTCTTACCTGCCAAGAAACGGTCTGTGATGTGGCTTGGCGCCTCAAAATGGCATGCCCACCATGTGGCTAGCTGACCCGTCACAGCACAGATGTCTCTGGAATGCAGGCGCTTATTACCCCGCGCACCACTCACACTTGTTTCTTTGGGCTGGGCACCTGGTAACGGCTGAACAAGTAACCGCTGTGGCTGGCTGATGATTTTAATAGCGGGTTCTCTCCAACTCAATCGGGTTAGAAGCGAGAGTTCCACGTTAATGAGGTGGATGTCTGCTAACTAATAAGAGATCTGGATTTTGCTGGTTTGACTGATCACCCCAACCCCATAGCATCACCTCTCATCATCTTCACCACAGCTCACAAAACACACTCTTCACTATCTTTCCAACATCTTAGAGCCAGGAGGTATGGCTTCTGCAACGTTTGCAAACGTTTCCAGCCGACCAGTTGCTTGGACCCTTAGTCAGCCGAGCTCAGCGCTGCCAGTCAAGGCTGTCGTTGATTCCACCACTTTCACCTCAACTGAGTCCAACTCTACCGGGTTTCAGAAGCTGTCTAGCTCTTTCACCGACAAAGATGGACTCTCTAGCGTGGACTCGACTCTCCTCCAAAACGCTGGCATGATTCGCTGTAAGTGGCAACTAAATACAAGCAAGGGACCTGGACTGACATTGCGTTTCTTAGCCATCGTCAAGATCGAATCGCGCTTCGAAAATACAAAGACTGGCCATTCCATTTGGAAGATCGGCACAGGCTGGCTCATCCGTCCCGACCTCATCGTCACCGACGGTGATGTTGTGTACGATGCCGAGTACCAGCTGGGCGCCGCCACCCAGGTCAAGTGTTTCATCGGCTACCATGCCAGTAGCTCCTCGGAGATCCAACCCCGTTATGGCCAACGTGTCGTGACTTCCTCCGAGTCGATTGATGGCTCGGAGAAGCGCTCGCGAGACATTGCCTTTATCCGAGTCGCCGAGCCCTTTGCGATCAAGGGCTGCACTTGCAAGGTGCTTGAACAAGTCAGCCTTCCAGAGCTTGAGGTTGTCCCAAAGGCCCCTGTCCAAGGTTTGTGATACTAGAACCTTAACAGCTGATTGATTCTAACGATATCTTTCTACCGGAAGAGCCTGTCGTGTCCGAGTCCAAAGAGAATGCCACCACGACAACAGAATACTACACGAGCTCCAGTGGTGTTTGCGGCGGGACTGATGTCACTGTTCCTCAAGTTGAGCAGCCCAAGCCCCAGCCCGAGGTCATCCAACCCCAGGAGCCAGAGCTCAAGATCCCGTCTGTGCCCGTTCATTCGAAGACAGATGTCGATGATTTCGTCAACGTGACCTCGGTGGAGGCGAACAACCCGACCTCCCTGGTCGCTGACACGACCACAGATCCATTCTATGAGGTTCTCAAGACTGTAGCTCAGATTGATGCAAAGACTCTCGATATTGAGTCTCCTCTTGTTGACGAAATCGGTCAGTTTCTCAGTGCCAGCGCCGGACCTTTGCTCCGCTATGTGGTGGGTGCTGAGCCGATCTCTACTGGCGAGAAAACAAGGCTTCCCGGTGTCTCAGAGAGAGCCCTGCTTTCCGAGGCATCTCTACAGGGTGTCTTGGCAGATGAGGAGTTATCGGAGTTGGACGAGATCCTCGAGCACATGCGACGGACCTGGTCCGCTAATGCACCTGCTTGAACTGCCCCAATACAGACCATGATTATTCAAGCAAAATGTAAGCCATTTACACTATCTAAAGCTGCCTTGGATGATCCTAAGTAGAGGAAAGTTGAGCACTGCGAATGTCTGCCTTCATCCCATTCTCTAGTTCGGTGATCAACTCGGATGCCACCTTTGCCTCTAGGCCCATTCTTCCAGTGTTAACTTCCTCAGCGAAACTGACTCTCCCCTGCCACCATTCGAGCCAGCTCTCAGCTCTCGCCCCATCTGTAGCTCGAAGGAGCCCGACATTAATGTCAACGACGTCATCGGCAATCTTCTCATGCCAGAAAATGGTGGCGCCGCATGTTCCACAAAACTCGCGCCTTACGTTCGTTGATGATGAATAGCCCGTCAAGATCCCAGGGGGCAGAGTCGCAAAATCCAACGGCACGATCGATTCTTTCCCATCCATGCCGGGAACATGAAAAAAGATGTTAACCCTGGGAACAAAGGCCCATGTTTGAACTTCAAATCCAGAGATGAGGCGACATGATCGACAGGCACACGTTCCGGCGAGATATTTGTTGCCATTGCCTTGAATCCACCATTTCTCATCATTAGGGTTCTGCTTTGTGTGTTCGTCTGTGGTTTTGTCCGGGAACATGAGGTCGGTGAAGTTGCGGCGTGGCCCACGGCTGTCATCGTTGGGGCGAGTAACATGAAACCTGACGTTGCCACAAGAGCACGAAGCTTCGAGGGAGTCGCTAGCAGGACTGGCCGGCTGAGCATTGGGTATTTCGGCCTCTCTTCCCTCGAAATGGCCCCCTAAGCTCTTCATCCAAAGGGAGAGTCCGCCATCCTTGGTGTCGGACACATATTGGTGTGATGTAAATCGCCCCAGACTTGAACCTGAAAGAGAACTGACTGCGCCTGTCGCGGCTCCCCAATCAAGGCCCTCTCCCTCAGTTTTGACAGCTCGAAACAAATGGCAGCCGCATGTAGCACAAAAGTAGCGTGTGGAAGTTCCAGTGGGATGATAGGCCTTCAAGGAAGGAGAAATATCAGGAGCGAAGATGGGATAGTACGAGGTGCATAACACCCCCGAAGTGTGTCGGCATGTATCGCAATGACAAAGAGATAGTGGAATGTCCAAGCCATCGCCAGCCTTTAGATCGACTTGCTGCGAAACAGCGCCGCAAAGGCAGCTCACTTGCAAGGCTTTGGCAGGCATTGAATCGTAAAGCGCACCCTGGGGGTTCTTGGAGATACGGATATGACGGAAAGTTGTAAGGTATCGTGGGATCTGTAAGAGACATAGGATTGCCTCCTAAGAGAATGTAGAAGACTTAAATCAGGTCTTGAATATTTAACATCAGCAGTTGTTAACCTATAGCAATTCTCGAGATTCGCTTCCCCTCCCACGATCGATATCTCGGATAAAATCACCCCGGAATCTCGGGGACTATCGCTCGAGTCGTACGAATCATGGTTTTCGTACCCTTGTTGTCGCAAGCGATGATTGGAAGGGCTCCGAAATGCCCCGAAGCTTCACACCCCTAGGCAAGGCTCGATCACCAATGATCAAGCTCCGGACTTAACTAGTAGTTACTTAACTCCGGGTCACTTGAACAACGGGGTTGGAGAAAGCCTCTCAATGGACATTCTCCGGTTTCCGGTCTCATGGGACGCCCTACGCCCTACGCCATAATACCCTCTACCGTCACGATAGCTACATACCTCTATCAGAATTTACCTGCAACCCTGGAGTACCCATCTTATCCAGTCCTTCATTGACTCTGGAGTGCTATCAGATAGCATTCTCTGAACTGCTTTTGTTCCGCAATCGGGCAGCTGAAGAATATCTTCTCACTTATCCTACTCATCACTTTGTTATGGTTTCTGCTCGAATCTTTTGCGGTCTCCGGGCTCAGTTAGCCCATCGAGGGCCAGGCTGCGACTAAAATAAAGAACAGATCCGAATCTTTTGCATCAACCAGTTCGGCCTAGTGCTTGAAGCTCTTTTTAAATCAGCATCATATAAGCAAGATAAAGAGTGCTCCGCGACCAAATGTTAGTGGTATGGCGACGATGGAAACGTCGATTCTAAGGAGAATGATGCGGCTTCGGCCTCATAGGGCGTACCGTTATCCTGCTAGACTAAGCTCGTTCCGCACTTGAGTCACGATATAGCGGCCCATGCTGGAAGATGGGGCCACTCGGGGAGTATCGCTTCACACATTTAGGAGGCTGACTGGTAGGAATGACCGACTTCATCATCGCGGAGTACCGCCCTTAACATTACAGCCCCCTCTCGTCTGCTTGAAACCAGTCAACCCGCGACGGGATGAGCTGATGCTTTCCCTATACGAATTAAACAACATGACAGCCACCTTCATATTCCCATCCTACTTTCCCGCCCTCACAAAGAACATATTATAGACTTTTTGCATCCAGTCTAAGAGGCTTCCATCTTACTAAAGCCAATAATGCACTAACCCTCAGACCTGATGTGTGTATGCAAATAGATGTGTTGAGAATCTGTTCTTTATTATAGTTGCAGCCCGGCCCGTGATGGGTTAATTGAGCCCGAAGATCGCATGCACAATGGGTTCGCGTGTGATAGACATGGCCTCGTTCGTCGCACTACTTATCAGGCTAGTGGTGCATCCATACTTGGTAACCATAATAGCGGGCTCGTCCAGGGACTTGGACTCGTATTCAGGAGGGGGTTTATTCATCTCAGCTTTCGAGATGGTACCTCCGAGCTGCAGATTGTTTCTGGTCGAGTGAACCCAGAGCTCCGCCTGGGACTCGAATCCGTCCGTCCCAGCACCTGCTATTATGGCCTCGACAGCTCCTGGGGCGACGGCGACACGACTTGTAAGCGCATTTAATGGAACATGGTGCTTGTCAGCATGGAGCTCAATTAGAGCCCAGTCACGTAGTCGCTCAACACCTACTGCGTAGGTGCCATTGACCTCATTGCTGAGCTTGGGAGAGAAAAGAACATGACCACCGATGCGACTGGTGTGGTCTTCAGCGGTCTCCAAGGTCTGATTGGCTTAGTCAAGAAGAGAAATCTTGGCATCTAAGACGCCCATCTCCATTCCCTTCTCATCGTCAGGGATGTCCATGCTCATCAGGACCGTTTTTGATGTCTCTAAATCTCTTCTGGCTGATGATCAATTTCATCACATCTCTATGGGTACCATCGCCATGTTGAATCATTGGTCATCGAGAGGCAAGGTCTGATTCGTCATAGAGATAGTCCTCGATAGGTTGATGCTCATACAATACCACATGCCGACAAGCCAAAGCCAAAATCTTGCCGGTGCCTCTGTCACGACGGTAGAGGCACTTGGTTCCTTCGCGGTCGGGCTGATCTAGCCGCGCGATAGAGACCCCGACATTAGTAGAGAAAAGGTGATTGATCTCGACCGGGTAAGTGACGTCTCTCGAATGTAGCCGCGGGGCGCTCAGCCGAACAAGAGCTGCTTCTTTCATCTCAACTGGGATATCTCTAACCCCGTGGCGCTGTAGGGTCCGATGGTATCGTGCCACCACGGCATAGGACGGGCCCCAGGACGTGGAACCTTCTCCCACCGAAATGAGGAGCGTGAAAGGATAATCGAAGTCCAGTCCGGTTCTTTGGTTGCTCCTTTCGTAGCCGATACGTAAGATATCGATGACAGTCCAGTCGGTATGGCTAAGAGCTTGTATGATATCCTTTCGGAGAGGGCCAGCAGAATCATTCCACTTTTCTGCGATTATCTGATAATAGACGGGACCTAAGGTCCTACCTATTGACCACCCATCAAACTGAGGTTCCCATGGATCCGAACTCGATGAACCCCTCAGCTTACTGGCGCGTAGCCTAAGCACTCTCAAATGTAATGACTCTGAATGGCTAAAATATGTAAAATGTAATACTAAAATCACATAAAAGTATATCATAAGGACATATAAAATTCTACAAAGCTGTTATAAATAAGTAACTATTTTATTTTAATTTTATGACCGTGCCTACTTAGAGAGGGAGGTGTGTCTGTCTTACCCACTCCACCGCCAAGGTCAATTCACATGGAATCTGAACAGAGATTGCTAGATCTCACAAAAGTGTGTTATCCAGTCATTGACATTTCCTATCTATTCGCTACTAGAGACGAGGCATTGTGTTTCCCGATCACCGTCAAAGACGTAAGAGGTTAGCGATATGTGTGTAGCCAAACCCAATAAGTCTAGTGTGTCATAGATAGTGAGTGTGGCCCGGTAGATAGGTCATTCAAATCCTCATGGCAAGGAAGTGACATGGTAGGGATTAGAGATGGAGAAGCTTACTGCGCCTTGCCTGCCCCACACGGCCGATGGCCCGGAAGTATCGGCAGACCGGAGGTATGGTGATTACTGTACATTAGTTAGGTCGTGGTTGACGGAGATGATATTCTCCACGACTAATGGACCGTTCTCTTGGGGCCGGGGATAGAGATGAGCGAGATGACCGTGCTGACCAGCAAAGGGATCATTATCAATGAGATATTGTTCTTGTTGCCTAAAGATTGACTCTAGCTATGGAGGTGGGTTGGTTTGCTGCCTAGGGAGGCTTCTTGAAGGCATACACAAGATAAGAGCATATGCTGTCGAGCTCTTGCCAGCCAGACCTAGATCGTCACGAAGCCAATTGATATAATTTGGTTACCAATCGAGTAGAATTGCCGATGTACCTGCGCCACCCTAGATGACAAATCTTTCTAGCCAGCGCATTGAACATAGATCCGGTCCAACCTGCCTGAACAAAGAACACAGAGAATAGGGATGGTAGTCTTCTAGGCATTTGATATCCGACAATTCTCATGGTACATCATTTACCACTCACGAAGTCGTTACATGCATAAGTTCGATAATTGTTGTAGTCTACTCGCTTAGCGACGTGGATACTGTTAAATAATGAAATCACTATCTAGCTCATATGTGTTTTTGATCTAAGAGGAAATAACGCAATTGACGTTGTTGTTAGATCCAGGGTAAGCAAAGCCAGGCTATGAGGCCCCAACGTGTGGGAAGAAGGAATGTTGTCAAGAGGCAGGTTTTCCCCAACGCTTACAAGAGGCAATTCTGTGGCAACTCATTTGGGTACTTTTTCTGACTGGGTAGTGAACTATTGTGGGAATCAGTCATTTCACCGCGACGAGGAGTTGTCAGTGCGGCGCAGCATAGCTCTGGTCACATTTCCATTACAAGATTTATGGAGTGGCACTTTTGGCCGGTCAGAGCCCCATTGTATCCATCACCTGATAGGTACGGAGAAAATACTACGATCGAATCCTTCCACGTGAATAATGAAGTGAACTTGTTGGGCTCTGTAGGGCGAACGATACAGGGTTGCTGCTGACGGGTAGACGGGTCTAGCCGACGGCGAAAACGGACACGGAGCTCGGAAGGCAGGCCATTGACCAACCAGACACAGCTTCACCCCTGCATGATCCTCTGCCAAGTATCCAGCCATGCGGCTAAATGCTCTCGCACGGGCCTAGTCCGCCTTAAATGTTACATTCCGCGCCGCCAGCTTACATGGAAAACATGCTTCAGTCCGGAAGGAGGAGGTCAACCATATGTGCCTTGTCTATACGATAGCGATGCGGCTTAGCGCTAATCCTCCGATGTTAACGAACTTCCAAATGTTGGAGGCTAAGTTCAAGTGAGTAAGTAAGAGTGGAGGCGAGGCATTTAGAGGTGCTGCCCACTTGAGAGTGGCCTGTCTGGCCGGGTTCTACTCTGTAGCTGACTGGGAAATAGAGAAGTTGATGTCACACGTTATCGTCGCATACTTGATGAATAGGAAATGAACTCTCACACCGCATCTAAGCGTCTTTGCTCTTCAGTTACTGTGGGCCAGGTAGAAATCACTAAGCCCCTGTCTCGGAAAGCGAGAGCGTACTTACAAGTTCGCCTACAGGTTCGCCTAGAGCCTCCGTAATCACGCCGGGTAGGTAGCATCGGAATCCTAATGCTGGGATACTGCTGACTATCTTCCGCGAGAAGAACCCTCTTGTGCGACGTGGAAGACTTGTTCCACATATCGATTGTCTGGGTCTGCTAAAGATATAAAACCGCTTGCCAGCTGCCTCTCGTTCTTCATATCCCAAGGCCAACAAGAATCATCAGCCCTTAAGCTCTAACTGATCGGCTTTAACTTGCACACCTCTACTTTATCGTTACCTACTATTCCACCTGCTAAGCTTCTACAATGGTTTCCGTCAAGAATACCGTTCTCCTGGCTATGGCTGCCTCTGTCCAGGCCTCTCCCCTCGCTGCCACCTCCTCTACCTCTACTGCCGCCGTTCCTACGGTGACTTACATTCCCGATGAAACCAATCTTTGGACTCCTCCTGCCTTCCCTGAAGGTGCCATCGATATCAGCAACAACAGAACTTGGGTCAACCAGATCAAGAAAGAACACGGATTGGACACAGCCGATGACAGAGTCTCTACTACCGACGAAGTGACCATCATGTCAGGTGCCTGTAACCAGGGTACATGCCCCGATTACGATAAGTCTTTCGACATGATGTACACTTGGAGTCAGCAGGAGACTGTTTCTCCTGGAGGCGCCCCTCCCAACGTCATTGTCTGGCAAGACTTTCAAATCCGCGTTAACGACTGCGGCAAGTGCTACATTCACCGGACTGGTGGCACTGGTGGCGGATGTTATGACTTTACTGCGTGCAATCGCGCACAGTCAATCTGTGTCGACCCTGGTAGACACCGGGCCCACCGCATCTGGAAGGATAACGGACACAAGACATGCTACCAGATGGATCAGATTTCTCTGGGAGGTTGCGGTATCATTATGGAGCGATCTATTCATCGCCCTGTCTATGAGATCGCATGTAACTGGTGAGAAGGAAGATAGGATGGTAGTTGGCTTGGCGAGTGAGGGAAATGGGTCCTGAATGATGCATGACGACTTTTTTTGTACATAGAAAACGGCTAGAGGCTTGAGAGAGTCTTAAAGCCACAATTGCCTTCATTGGCCATGAGCGAAAGAGGGTAGACTCCTTGGAGCTGCTTCGTTGCGATGGTCCCCTTTACCTAGAATGATTGTTGACCCTGATTGTTTTCTTCTGTTCCCTAGTGAGTGAGAATCTCCGATCCCATTCAATAACCCCCAGTAGTGACCCATAAGGCGATATAGTCTCGGATACAGGCTCTCTGTGCGTTTATAAATTATGTGTTTGATTGTTAAAGAAGGGTGGGGGGCTTCTATAAACGACATTTTAACCTAATGCACAGAGAAACCAGCGTTATTATTTGACTTTCACTTGAATAGTATAGCAAGTTTTAAAGAAATTTATCTATGGTAGTGCTTTAATTTTTTTTATATTTTACTCTCGAGAAGGGAGCCGCTTCCTGCTTAGTCTTGCACGTGCTGGTCCCACGTGACTAACGCGATATCTTACGCGTGATGCCTGGTTACTTTCTTAACTTCTCCACCAGTTTCTCCTTGATCCCACCAACATTTGTGCCAAATAATGGAGTTTGGACAAGCCAAACGTATATCGTAAGGAGATCTGATCTTGAAATGACGCCCAAGCTAAGCAATACCAAGCTGCAAGAGATGCCAGTTCCGTAAGGCAAGATTATCAACTTGCCACCTCGCGTTTTCAAGAGACTAACCAGCTTCTAGCTTCGCTGCTCGCGCACGGAGCCTTGTGATAAATGTCTGCAGGCACATCAAGCGTGCGAATATCGTGATGATGATCGCAAACGAAAACCAGCTTCCCGTCAGTACGTCAGCAGCTTGGAAAACCGCATTGCCTCCCTCGAGAGTCTGCTGATGCGTGTAAAGCAGGCATCGGCAGATGAGAGGGAGAGACTGCTGGAGAATGTGTCATTTGACCAATGGCTTGATGCAAACTCTACTGATGCCCAAAAACCTGAGGTCCCAATCGCGACCCCAATGAAATCGATTCAACCATTTGGACTTCAGGCCGGCCCTCAGGGCCTCCTCATTTATCATGGTCCCACTAGTATCTATCGCATCCGCACTGGAGGACCTCCCTTTTCATCTAGCGATATGACTTCACCTGACGGCCAGTTTGACCATGTCGCTCAACACTTTGGCATCGACCTCGAAGACGAAGTCGTCATGACTGCCCTTCACCATTTTTTCCGCTGGCAATATCCACACTTCATGTTCATATACCGTGAAGCCTTTCTAAGAGATCATTTTGGGCAGCGAACCAAGTCAAAGTATTGGTCTCTCCCATTGTTGATGGCTATTTGTGCTTTGGGGGCTGTAATGCTGCCAGACCATTCACAATCACAGATGAGTGAGCAGTTTTATGCAGCAGCCGAGAGCATCATCATTGTCCCGGGCCTGACGCACCCTTCCATCACTGCTGTTCAAGTCTTCCTATGCCTTGCCTTCTACCAGATTGGGAAAGGCGAACTTTCCAAGGGTTGGGAGCTCTCAGGTACTGCCATCGATCCTATCCAATAATCTAGCTGGTGTTGACCTCTTACTAGGAATCGCGTTCCGCATGGCACAGGACCTTGGCTTTCAGAAAGATCCTCAGCAATGGATTGCCAGTGACGCCTCTCTGGCCACCTCTGAGGATGTCGAAATCCGCCGCAGGATATACTGGGGATGTTACACATCCGACAAGATAATCAGTCTCATCTTGGGCAGACCGGTTCAGCTGTACGATGAGGCTGGTGAAGTCGAACACACTGAGTGCTTGCCGTAAGTCTAATTTATTGTTCAAAGCCTTGTTGGATACTTACGGCAGTAGGGACTTCCCAGACATGGCCCCGTGGCTACCTGCTGGTGTTGACATCTCCCGGATGCTCGAGCCAGGCTCTTTTGGTAGCCGTGAGCGGTTGATCACAAGCTTCAGTGAACACATCTTGCTATCCAAATCCATTGAAAAGATACTCTGTACCCTGTTTTCTCGAAAAGCTGCCGCCAGTGGCATAACCGGTCTCACTCTTACCGATGGCCTGGATCTGGAACTTTGCCGCTGGCAGGAGTCGCTGCCGGACTGTATCAAGTGGAACAGATGGGAGCCCCCAACAACTTCGCTTCTGCCAAGTGTTGCGGCTTTATAGTACGTTCATTACATGATCTCCTCGGCCTGACTATCAAAGCTGATTGGAACACAGCATTCTGTTTAACAGCACAAGAATCGTGCTCCACCTCGACCGGGTTAGTACCGAGGCATCTGCCCAATCCCAGAGTGTCTCGCTCACCGTCTGCACTTCTGCTGCACAGGATGTTGTATGTCTCGTCAGGCAGTATCGAGCACAGCATGGCCTCGAGCATGCTCCGCTCATCTTCATATATGGTATTGTTCAAGCTCACCGCGCAATGAGGGCACTTGACATGACACCCCATGAGGCAACTTATCTTGTACAATCGTTAGATGAGTGCTGTGTGGCATGGGGTCTGGCGGTACAGGCCAGGTCACATTTATACGAGTTGTTCTGAGCTCTTGGACCTGATGGTCGGCATATAATCGCCAGCTACGATAGAGATAGGCTGTCATCCAGCATCGGCGTTCATTCAAACTGTTTTATTTGCTACTGTATATGATACCACCTCCATATCTATTTGAAATGAAGACTGAAGGGCCTCTTAGATTTCCCACTCTAGATACAGATGCATCTTCCGTCTACACTTTTCCAACGGGAAGTCCCAACTCCAAACCTGATTTGAGCACAACAGCAAGCTTTTTGACATCCTCGAGATTGTTGTAGAAGCCAAAGGATACTCTTATGCCCAGCCTATAAGGCGTGACGAGAATTTGGTTCTCGCAGAGGTGCTCTGCCCAACGAGGATCATGTACATCTAGGATATACAAATGAGGAGCATGCTCCTTTCGTGAAGTTGGTCCAACAATGCTAATGCCTAGGTCTTGACATTCCCTTCTCAGGGCGTCTCCAAGGCTGAATAGGTGTTCTTCAACATTTTCTGGGCCCATCTCGTTGAGATAGAACTTGAGAAATGCGTTGGCAGCTGTGGTGGCAACGAGACTGACATTGAGATGCTCAAAGCGACGAGCGTTAGGATGATAGGTGATCTCATCCGACGGCACGAGAAGATCTGCCCGCGTGTTGTGGACAGCGCCGTAACCGACAATTGGAGGATGGGGATCGGTCTCCGCAATGACCCTGGGGTCAACATACAACGCGGCAAGGCCAGTCGGACAGTTCAAGCCCTTGTGAAGACCAAAGGCAGCGGCGGATAGACCCAAGGCCTGGACATCAACAGCCGCGAAGCCGACTTGCTGGGTCATATCCACAAGCACGTGGATACCCTTAGGTCGGTACCTGGCAGAGATGGCAGCGATGTCGTTGCGTTGGCCGCTATGAAACATGACTGAGCTGATACCAATAGCGCGAGTACGGTCGTCGACATACGGAGCAAACGTGTCTGCGTTTGCGGCAGAGACGATGCCTGTCTTTTCGGCAATGGTAACCGTGGGAACTTGGCGGACCTCCAGGCCAGAAGCTCTCATGGCCATCCAGGCGTAGGCATGGTTTGGATGTTCCGAATCCAGGATGACAACGTTGTCACCCGGGGCAAAGTTCATGCCCCGAATGAAACAATTGAGACCCTCGGTTGTGTCACGGGTCAATGCCACGGACTCAGGAGAAGGGGCGTTGATGTACGTTGCAATCAACTCTCGTGTTTCGATTGCCATATTCTGCCATTGTGGCTTGGGAGCCGGAGAATGGAGAGCATCGTTGGCGTAACGGGTAAGGGCATCGTGGACGATGAGGTTTGACGGAGGAGCAAAAGAGGCGTTGAGGTAGGTGTAGCCGTCTGCATCCACCAGCGGGACAAGACGACGATAAGCAGACCATTTGGCATCAGGCTGCCCATCTTTGGGAAAGGTGATAGGTGTTGAAGAGTCAACGACAGCGTCAACTAGAGAGGGTGCCATGGTGACTGGGACGGATGAAACGGATAAGAAGAGGATGTATAATCAGGGTTTAATGATGGATGTGAGCCTGGAGTGCGTTATCCCCTGTATCTCCAGCAACTACCAGGCCTTTATAGATTCACAACCTCGACGCTGTTCCTCTCATATCAACACTGGATTTGCAGGTCCCAGAGATTCCCCGAGCGGATGCCCAACTCAGCAACGTGTCTAAGCATAGCAACTCCTCAGGTGACGCCATGATTGTCACAAACGTTGGCAATGCCCTCATCGATTGGCTGGCTTCGATGGAGTTCCACGTCCGCGAGTGGGTATCTTCCTAAGATCAAAAGAGGTATCCATAACTTCCACAATTCCATTCGATGCCGGGCAGAAAGATCATGACCCCGACTTGATCTATCGTATCATGCCCCTGACTGGAATTTGCCGATGATAACAATGTCACGCATGCTCCCCGCATTGGAGGCTCGTCTCCGTTGCATCACGAGTCAGTACTTGAGCGATATTATTGGCACTACCTAACCGCTCCCGCCTAGCGCATGGAGTTTACCCTCCATGAGTGGATACTCGCCCCCTGTCGGCCCTCCTCGCATCTACGGACTAGCCAACTTCGGCGATAGCATGCCTTGCCTTTTAGCAACCCTGAACGGATCTCGCAGGAGCTCTCAGGCTGTTCCAGACCTTGTTTGATGGTAGAAACGCTCTTCCTGAGCTAGATAAGATGGTGGGTACGTGAGTCGAGAATCCGGGGTTGAAGGCCGGGGAGCCCCATAATTGATTACGTCGGTTCCAAATCTTTTCCCGTAGATACACGAACAGGTGTGGTCCACTTGGTTGATAAGGGACTTGTTTAGCTGATAGTCCTTTTGATCTACAGCGTAGTAGGGAATATAAAGTCGAGTCGGTCACTTCATGTTTAACTTTTCACCATCATTGTCTATTTACCTCATCTCTAGCCTTCATAAGTCAATTATATCCCAATTATTTTTGCCACCATGATGACTATTCAAGACTCGTCCAACCCCGAGTATGACTGCAAGAAAGCAGATCTTGAGGGCCCTGAGATGGACAACACCTGCACCGCCGAGGGCCAAATGGTCGACTACGAGCACACCCACCTACGTCGCGATTTTAAAGAACGCCATGTGTCCATGATTGCCATTGGCGGTGCCCTGGGTACTGGTCTTGTCATCGGGACTGGAGTTGCCCTTGTTCGCGGTGGGCCTGGCAGCCTCCTTATAGCGTACATGATTATCGGGGCCTGCATCTTCTTTGTCATGACGGCAGTTGCTGAGATGTCGACAATGTTTCCCATGGATAAGGGATTCTCTGGATATGCTACTCGATTCGTCGATCCCGCACTTGGGTACGTTGGCAGAGGGAACAGTGATTTCCTCATCCTAATATTTGAACTATAGGTTTGCTACTGGCTGGAATTACTTCCTCAAATACGCCATCGTACTTCCGAACAACCTCACGGCAGCGGGGATCATCATCCAATATTGGCGGCCAGATCTGAACGTTGGCATCTTTGTCGCCTCCTTCACCGTTGCCATCGTCCTCGTCAACGTCAGTCTCGTCCCTGTACCTTCAATTCTCAACTAACATGGGTGCTAGCTTCTTCACGTCTCCTTCTTTGGAGAGGCCGAGTTCTGGATGTCTCTCATCAAATTGCTCATCATGATCATGCTCATCCTAGTCTGTCTCGTCATCTCACTTGGAGGACAGCCATCGGGTGAACGTATTGGCTTCAAGTTCTGGTCTGACCCTGGCGCATTTGGTACCTATCTCGTTGATGGGCCCACTGGAAGGTTGCTTGGTTTCTGGGCGTGTATGGTCCAGGCTTGCTTCGCTTACACAGGTTCGTCTGCTGCAGTCCACGGACTTCCAAAACCGTTACGTTAACACAGGGGCAGGTACTGAAGTCGTCGGAATCGCCTTTGGAGAGGCCCCCAACCCTCGAAAGACGATCCGAAAGGCAGTCAGGCAAACTATGTGGCGTATCATCTTCTTCTATATCCTGGGAGCCCTTGCCTTGGGTATGGCTGTCCCTTATACCAATGACAGGTTAATCGGTGGCACGAAGCAGAGGACCGGCGCGGGGGCTAGTCCCTTTGTGATTGCCAGCCAGCTTGCCGAAATTCCTATTCTTCCACATGTTGCCAATGGGGGCCTTCTCATGTTCGTGATCAGCGCCGCCAACGCTGACATCTATATCGGATCAAGGACTCTGTTTGGTCTTGCGCACGATAACCAGGCCCCTGCCATCTTCAAAAGAACTACTGGAAAGGGTGTGCCTCTCGCAGGTGTTATTCTTGTGGCTATCTTTACCAGTCTGGCGTACATGAACGTCTCGCAGAACTCGGCAACCGTTTTTAGCTACTTGGTGAGTCTGGTTACCGTGTTTGGCACGCTCAACTGGGTCAGCATTCTGGTGAGCTACGTCTTTTTTTCGCAAGGCATGAAGTCACAGGGCATTCCAAGAAGTATGATGCCTTACCGTGGGTTTCTGCAACCCTACGGCTCCTATGTTAGTCTTGTGGTTGTTATCTTCGTCATGTTCTTCAACGGTAAGCAAAATCTATCGCGAAAAAGTACACCCGATGCTGACGGAATCTGTCAAGGATACGCTGCTTTCATACCTACGTTCGATGTGTCTAAATTTATGACTTCATACATTGGCATCATTCTCTACATCCTCAACATTTTTTGGTGGAAGCTGTGGCACGGTACAAGCAGGGTCGGACTCAAGGAGATGGATCTTTCCACAGGCAGGCTTGAGTACGATGGACAGGACTACCCTTCAACACTTACCAAAGCATTCCGCTGGACAGTTCGGCTTGTCACAAAGTCGGACAAGTAAGATGAAGACAAGATTTGCCAGTCTGTGATGTATTTCTCATTCTAGCAGCTTATCAAGATCCATCCGATAGCGTTCTATACGATTCCTGATAATATAAAGCCTCCTACGATTTTATCGCCCTAAGCCTTTGACGTGATAGTTGCTTTGATCTCACCCGTGCCTCTCTTCGGGTATCCCGTCAGACGAATATGATGGACTTGGACATCTTCGAGACTCGTGTTGTAGAGTTCCATTTCGAATGACGTCGCGATTTTCGCGATGGCTATGTACAGCTCCGCATATGCTAGGCTATATAGGGTTGATTAATACAACCTCAAAAGCAAGAACTGCAGTGGTTAGCTTACTTGATGCCAAGACACTGCCTTGTCCCTTTGGTGAAGCTGCATATGTACTTGCTGAGGTGTACACCCTCTGCAGCAGCTCTCACCCAGCGATCAGGGTCAAATGTATTCGGGTTCGGAAAGATTGAGGGATCAAGGTGGACGAGGAGAGTAGACTCGCTCACTGGAGTCTGATGCACCCATGTTAGCGCTGAATACCGTAACTGAATTTTGACGGGCCTACTCACACCAGCCGGGATAAGCCAATCGCCATATTGCAGGGCCTCATTGGGAGAGACTCTTGGAAGCCTGATGACAGGTCCGTGGGCAAGGCGCAACCCTTCTTGGACACAACCAGTCTGACATGGATCACACCAATTGTCAGTACCACCATCTGATAAAAGTTGTGTTCCATGAGGTGGTGACTTACAAGGTATGGCAGAGCCTCCAGCTGGTTATACGCCCACTGACCATCGGGCCCCTTTTCTACAGTGCTCAACTCATCTCGAAGCTTCTGCAAAAGCGACTTGTCACGCAGTAAGTGGAAAATAGCCACGCTGATGGATCTAGCGGTCGTTTCTGTGCCCGCAAAGATCACAGTCACCCCCTCATCGACCAAGCGGTCCAACGTTTTTTCTTCAGCCGGGATGTCGGGATCCCCCAGGGCTCCCACGATGACTGACTTTGACTTGACATTGTCTTTGTCGTTGAGTGACTGTTGGATCTCTACCAGGATTTCTTGTTGCGACTCTAGGAGAGCCGCAGCTCCGGGTTGAATCATGCGAACAATGGGGATTGGCAGGCTGTTGATGAAGTTGGCCACCGCAGGAACAAAGCGAGAGAAATGGTAAAATCGGATGAGGCCAAGAATTGCATCTCTGACAACAAACTTGAAGTCCTTCCCACCAAGGTAGTCAAAATCCTTGCCATAAAAGTAGATGCTCACAATATCAGCTGTCAAGGCTGCCATGGCTGCATCCAGGTCAACTGGCGTCCCCTGACCGATCCACTCCTCCAGACGACCGCAAAGCCGATCAACCTTGTCATTGATAAGGGGCTCGAGCATTGTTACAGCACGTTTGGAGAAGTAGGGGTTGAGTATACTGCGTCGCAGACGGTGAACATCGTGGTCGATCGTGGCCAAGGTTGCCCTGGGCACTGTGAAAGCGGCGACCGCTGGGCCATACTTGTTGACTCGCTTTGACCCTGCATAGACCTTTGAGTAAAAGTCTGGATCATGGATATGTAGCTCGTCGGCATTGATTCGGACAACCGGTCCTTGAATAACAGGTTAGCTGTGCCAAACATGCCGAGCACAGGATGTCCATTACCATATTTGCGATGCATCTCCTCGATCCTCCACAGGTATGTACCATCCCTAATTACATCGTGATAGAACTCGTAGTACGTTCCAATAGCAGCAATCTTGGGACCAGGGAACTTGCTCAGTGGATGGAAGAAGAGGTTATAGATGACTTCGCAAACAAGGTAAGAAATCCAGAATAACCCAGCTGCCCCAGCAGCGGCAATAGCAGGCTTGTCTATCCAGAATACGTTCTCAGTCATGGTTGGACTTGAGGTGGTGGCAATGAAATGGAATAGAATACAAAAAGTGTATAGTAGCAAGCTCTAAGAAAGGATTGCTCTTCAACCTAGCCTCACAACTAAAGAGGCATGGAGTCAAATTGCTGGGACCTGATGCCCGCATAGTCTTCTTGCGTCTGATCAGTTTGACTCGGAGCCCGTCTACTATGAGAAAGAGAAACATTCGGATGCCAATATGCCGATTTGCTTGAATACTTCTCGTCCCTGCATGGACAGTGAGACCTCGCACAGCTTCTGATGGTCGGTCAATTAACGGGTTGGTACGCGAGTGGCTTTCATTGTGTATTGACGCACAAGTAGGAACCCTTGACCTTGATGGTTACGCGAAGATCTCCCCGACAGTCTTGGCCCATGTTTTCGTGGGCAACACGGTCGTTGCATCCGGTGGCTTTATGTTGTAACATGCTCCACCACTCACTTGCTCAAAACATATATCGGAGATAAGAGCCTTTATCCGCCTTTGCGGCAAGGAACTTCGTATATGTACCACGGTACGCAGTTCTGTCTGTTTCAGATAAAAGCTCAGCCACGTAGCCCTTGTTTCCGCAGCCGGCTTTGACGCTGCTGTTGCCCATTGGTTATCTCAACGAAAGGATTCCGAGACAAAGCCAAGCTTCAAGCATGATGCGCTCTGCGGACATTAATGTCTTGCGAAGTACTCTACATGACTCTTGTCAGACCATATTCGGATCTTCGTTTTTTGAACGAGGCGTTGAGGCGCTTTACTATGTGACACGGGGGTTACAAGATAAGGAAAAACTAGACGTAAAGCACGAAGTCCTCGTATCCTCGGGAAGAGGATCGGCTGGGCTGATTCGAACAGACCCGGCAAAGACATCACATTCTGGGATTGGGATGAGGCGCATTGGGCCTCATGGTGTTTCACGCCAGGGATAGACAGTTCACCTAACAGCTTTTGTTCCATGGCTACAGCAGTCTATTGAGCTGTAAGTTCAGTGAAGGGTAGTCAAGAATAGAGCCCACACCGGTTAAACGAGACCTTTCACTTTTCGCCAAACCGTAGAGTGTCCAGCCGCTCCCTTTGAACTGCGAGTGAGAGGTATAGATACAAGGCCCTCGACACGACAAACAAGTTGGCCCTAGGCCATCCTGCATCACAATTTACAGTATCATTCTCCGCATCTTATCTACTCTATCGCCTCACATTTACTGCCCAATTCGGATCACAATGAGTCCTCAGGTCACTTCTGTCGTTCTTGACCGCAAGTACTGGGAGGGTAACTCTAAGTACTTTTTCAAGACGATTCCTCCCCGAGTTAGTAAATATGCGCAGCGTGCCGATGACGCTTGTATTCAGACCCAAATCGATGTTTTCGGTAGGGACAATGTGGGCATCATTCAGGGCAGCTTGGGCAGCGCTGCCAACTTTGCGGCCACTATCTACGCGGAGAGCCTACCAGATAGATTGCCCATTCTTGCGTACCTCAACGAGGTCCTCAGCTTCTATGAGGGTGGGTAATCTGACCGGTAACAACGAATTCGCGTAGCTAACACCATGCAGCGTTTGAAGAGGAAATGGCCGAGATGGTAACTCTTCCCTTTTGCCGTTGGGAATCTTGAATCTCTGACAGGTGGCGGTACCCACAGATGGAGGCAACCATCGACTTCCCGGTTCCCAAAGACCCCAAGTTCAATAATCCAGAGTGGCAGGCAAACTTCAGACATGTGCTCCCAAAGATTGCCAAGATAATCAGCATGGCGGATCAGAATCTCGGGCCCAAGACCATCCAAGCTATGAAAGAGCTCACGGAGACACCAAATCTTTCGCCTCGCATGCCTCACTACAAGACAATGGATGAATACTTGGCGGAGCGCATCGATGATATTGCATGGCCGTTGGTTATCCCAATTCTTAGACAAAGAGTACTCTGGCTAACAAGCATGTTTTTTTTTTATCTCAAGATCGGTTTTCGCTTGTGCTGAGTTCGGGGCCAACCTCAACCTGACGACCAAGCAGAAGGAATCGGTTGATGCTGTATTCCGGCCCCTGTGGATTCATTCTTGCTGTGTCTACGACTACTATACGTGGGAGAAGGAGTTGGGTATTGCCGCGAGTCATGGCGAGGGCCGCAATATCATCAACGGGATCGCGCTACTTGGTCGCCTGGAAGGGTTTTCGATCAATGACGCAAAGGAGTGGCTGAATCGAAAGTGCTTTGAGTGCGAGGAAGAGTACCTCGGTCTCAAGAAGGGATACCTTTCCAAAAACCCATCCGAAAGCCTCCCTGAGGACATGCGCAAGTGGTTCGATTGCCAGGAAGCCATCGCGACAGGGTTCGCAATCTGGTGTGCCACAACATACCGTCATCACCCACCGCACCAGAAGGGTTACGTAGACTACTACGAGAAGAGACTCGGAGAAGGTGCCCTGTGGTTTGATACTGCTGAGGATTCAGAGGATCTCATGCCTGGTGGTTTCGAAGCAGGGACACGCTAGACATGACTAGAAGCCACAGATCTGGGCCATCCAATAGTTATGGCTTTGTTTATTACTAGGTAGTCAAGTTCAATGAGACCAGAAGGAATGATAATGTCTCAGTCCTCAAACGCGTTCCCGTGAAAGGTAATCCTGGGCGCTTACGCACGCGAACCCTGGTTACATCCGTGTCACCGATAACAATCATCGGCCCAGGGGTTCCACCACTACTTGAGTGGCTCTGGACACTGGTCCAGGCTCCAATGCTTGGACCTCGAGGGGTTGTGCTAAGGGGTGTGTCCGACACAGGACAGCAGTTGAACCACAGGACCCCTCAAGTACAGAGTCTCCTAGAAGAAAAAGGCAGGCCCTTTCCAGGGCAGTTTTCTGAACCATCCTTGCCGACTTCTGTTCATTTACGCAAAAATGGGTTTTCGCTACGTCCTAAGCATTGTCGCAGCAGAAGCATGTGCGCACTACAAATCTCTGGCGTTGAGTTTTGCAAGCATCTTGGCAGTATACTGCCTGAGCGCATTTCTTTTCAACCTCTTCTGGCACCCCTTGGCCAAGTTTCCGGGGCCTAAACTGGCAGCATGGTCACAGTGGTGGCTCTCGTACCATGAAGCTATCAAGGGCGAGTCTTTGATAGACATTCTTCGCACTCTTCATGCGACATATGGTAAGTTCGGGTATACCTCTGATTTGTTTCTACCTTGCTAACCCTGAGAAGGACCCGTAGTGAGATATGGCCCTAATCTCGTAAGTTGAGTGACTAGCAGAACCTTAGGAGATGATCTAATGGAATGTGAAGCTACATTTCTCAACCTTTCAAGCCCACTGCGACATCTACAATCAGAACTCCAGATGGGATAAGGACAAGATGGTGTACGCAGCTGTCATGGAAGAAAACTCTTCTTTTGGTATGACATCTCATAAAGCTGCAAAGCAGAGGAGAGAGGTTGTCCAGCCGTTCTACTCGCGCAGAAACATACTGAAGATGCAAGAGGCGATAGACAGACAGGTATGGAGCCTCCCAAGTTCACATATTCCGCGAACGGGAACGCTGACCGGTAGCAACGCAGATGCAAATTCTTGTGGCCAGATTAACTCAAGATGGGGAGGGTGGCTGTCTCTCTGATCTGTCATTGGCATTTCGCTGTTTGGCACAAGACGTCATGACGGAGATTTGCCTGGGCATATCGTCCAAAACGCTGAACGCACCTGGCTACGAGTCGCCACTGATCCTTGCCATGGATGAGAACCTGCGTTCTTTTGTCCCGATGAAGACTTTCCCGACCTTCCGACGCCTCATGTACTCACTTCCTCCGAGTTTAACGCCTGGAGAAGAAGTCTTGACTGAGTATGAGACCATGGTTGAGAACCACGTCAACAAAGCCATCGAGGACCCTTGTAGCTTTGATGGTATTTCGCCCGTTACCATGTTACCGTACCTTGTCAATCGATCTGATAAGAACAAACTGGACACCGAAAGCCTGATTGGTGAGCTGCAGGCGTTTATCGTGGGCGGAGGTGAGACAGTGGCCAGCGCCATGGTCCTCGGAATCCACGGTATCCTCCGCCACCCGAACCTGTATCCCCGCATCCAAGCCGAGATCATCAAGGCCTGGCCAGAGGTATCCGGCCCGGTTCCAGGCCTGGAGGTACTAGAGAAGTTGCCACTTCTTACCGCGACAATCAAGGAGTCACTTCGACTTACGCACGGAGTTGTCAGCCCTCTGCCCCGTATCGTTCCTGAAGGGGGGGCTCAAGTGGATGGCCACTTTGTTCCAGGTGGTACGAGCGTGGGAGTGTCTCACGTCTTTGTCCACTTATCGTCTAGCCTGTTCGAGGATCCTCACACGTTTGAGCCGCAGCGCTGGCTGGATGCTTTCTCGGAAAAAGGCAACTCGAGTCTCGACAAGTACCTGGTGGCCTTTTCCAGGGGGCAGAGGAGTTGCACTGGGATCAGCTTGGCCTGGTGCGAGCTATACATTTCGTTCGCCACCCTGTTGCGTCAGTTAGACATGGAGTACTTGGCAGATGAAAATGATTCTGTGTTGAAATGGAGGGATTGTTTTCAGGCACTGTACTACGGAAGACATCTTCGGGTTCGCTGCGTACGTCGGACAAGCTAATGTAAGGGGGCAGACACGTATAGGGTATCGGGGAAATTTCTTCGTAACATGTAGTACAGAAAAAGCAGGTCAGGAGAGGTACACGAGTTGAAAACTGCGGTATGACGAGATAGGGGCAGTGCCACAGCCGATTTTCGTCCGAGTTCAGACAGCAGGTGCAGGAATGCAATGCTTCTTGACACCGTCACCGCAGACCTTTGCATTTTACAAGGGATGCGTTGTAGAGAATTTGAATAAAGTCTTGTTCTGCCAAGAGCGCCAATAAGACACGAAGCAGCATCTACTCTACTGCCTTCTCTAGCCGAACCATCGTGTCGTTGATATCACAACCCGTTTCATGGTTATCATGATACTGCAGTCCATATTCGTCATAGACGACTCTCCAACCAGCTGGTAGCTTGGATTCCTTCCACGCCTTCCAAGCCTTGGTGTGGTTATAGCATGGTAGGATCGTTTTGTCTTCTGCCATTTTTTCCCGGTACTCCTGCGACACGTCTTCCATGTCAAAGGTGATGGATCTCTGTGCTACTTCCAGCGCCCGCTCCAAGAAGGTCAAAAATTCGTGGTCGTTCAGGTAAGTTAGGGTTCCGAAGCAAGCAACATGGTTGACCTTGAGTGGCTGGGTAATGGCGGCTTGAACTGTCCCAATAGTAATGGGTGTTTCGTAGTATTTGCTGATGGACGGGCTTGCGGTCATGGCGGGTGAAAGATCGACGCCCATGATGGTGAACGGCTCGCCTTTCTCGTTGAGGAGTTGCCCAAGGAGGCCGGTCCCGCAACCAAGATCGACCACAGAGCCGGCCCAATCAAAGGTGAAGATGAGCTTCCTCAGCGTCTGGTAATACGGGAACTGGGTGACCTCCTCATCATACGTGGGGGCACATTCGGCGTAAGTGTCGACGATTCGCTGGACGAGATTATCCATCTTGCGGATGCCCAAAGACTACTCGTGTACTGTTGGGGTTTGAGTAGCGGAACAACGCTGATCTTGGAGAAACTTGACAGACGGAATCTGAGCCAGGTCTTTGGTGGTGTGTCGATGTGAGCTTGAAAAGTCTCTCTAGCAGCCCATCTGAAAATGAAGGAATTTATAGATCCTTGTTATTTAATGCGAGTTTGTCACATCCGATAAGGGAAGCGCTCCAGCTCTGCAATGGCCGTGTGTCTTGAAATATCGGTTGCCGACTACCATCCCGGGTGTTCAACCTAAGCTGAGACATGCTTCCAGATTGTGTATCTCAAGCAAAGCATGACAAATTTCACGTGGGTTTTCTTCCTCGCCTCTCTAGTTTCTGTGGTTTAATGATGTATCTGAAGGCCCGCCCTTGATGGGGGGTAACTGAGCTAGAAGACAGTAAGTGACAGGAGAGATGACATTGCCAAAATGGTGCTGGGATTTAGTTACCCTTCTCCAACATGAGATGATCTCAGAGAGTTCCCTCCTTGGCAGGGACCACAAGATCAGATACATCACCCTCCTTCTTAGGTCAACCATGCTGCCATGGATCGGAAGAACAAAGGGGTAACCCGAATACGGAGGAAGTGGCTAGCTTCTCATCTTCCATACGAACTTAATACTCCCAGGGGCATTCCTATGATGTAAGCATCACCTTGTCCATGATTAAATCCCTCATATCATGCCTGCGTACGTCAATACGGGACGGATGTTCACTTGAGTGAAATTTGATCAAATTGAGTAGTCGGCTGCCGACAAGATGCTGTGTAGACTCCATGCCTATCTGTTTACTTGGCCACCATTGGTGCGGCATACAGGTTCAGAAGCTCCCCATTGTCCAGCCCATGCGAAACACCATTGGTCAAATCTTCCGCCTCCATATCATGAATACCATTGGTGTCTCCATCAGCGATCCCATTCATCTCCGCCATCTTCTCAGTCCCTTTGACAGGCGGCCAAACAGCCCATTCCTTAAAGTCAATGGTTCCAATAGCCATGGCCTTCTCATAGTACCGGCGGAATTTGAGCTCCTCGGGGCTGTCACCACATCGCTCATAGGCCTCCTTGAAGCGGAATCTCTCATCACAGAAATGCCAGGTGACATAGCCATGAATGAAGGCATGAATAGTCTCGGAGATCTTGGGGTCCTTGTCATTGAGACCATTCAACACGTCCATCACGCGCTTGGAGCCGCGGCAGGTTTCGTTGGTAAGTCGTTCGAAGGACTCGGAGATGGAGAGCCCTTCAGTTGTGCACCAGTTCGAGACCAAGTTCACCTCATCTCTCGGGTTGCCATATTCCTTGTAGAATGACATCAGGTCATTGATGAAGGCGACGGGAATTTCCAGCTCGGCAATAGCAGTTGCAATCTGAGGGAAGAGAGCATCCTCATCAAAGTCGTCGCGAGGGAACAGGCTTCCGCCACAAATGCCTCCAAGCCCGTTCAGGCGGCGCAAGAAGCCTGGGAAGTACTCAGAACCAGGATAGCCGTGGAAATTGTGTTGTTCCACCCAACACCCTTGGAAGTAATCAAAGGTACTCCTGAGGATGGCGAGGGAGCAGAAGCCTCCATAGTAGCTGAGGAACTTGCTCAAGTGAGCATTCATCAGCGACCAAAAAGGGTGCTTCTGTGGCTCACCCTTGATGAGGTCGTTTCCAAACGTCAGCATCAAAGGGCTTGGGTTGTTCGTGCTGTCGTCGAGAAGGACAATGTGAACAAAGTAGACGCTGACAGCAACCATGACGTCAAGCGAGCACTTGGGCCAACAGTACACCACAACTTGAGAGCTGGTGCGCATGATGGCCTTGAATCTTGCAGGCTGTGCTTCGATTGCCGCCTTCTGCTCAGGCTGATCAAAGTACTTGGCAGTCTCTGCGTAGACATGGCGGAGAGTCGCCACACGCGTCTCATGGTCATAAATGTCGTCGTTGTATTGAATGGTATCAAAGTACCTATTCAAGGCACTGACGAAGATGAGGAAGGTCGAGTTATCCATTTTTACGATTGGTGCGGTGAGACTTTGGAGAGGGACGAAGGTTTGTATGAGAGACAAGTTTCTTGGGGTGATTTCCAGAGGCCTTTTGCTTCTTTATCCTTCGAGACCCAGGGTTTAAAGTATTCACGTTGCTCCTGAGCTTCAAGGCAATTCCACTTGGGGAAAAACACACTCGATCCACTACGATTTGCATTTTCTTGACGAAAAGGAGTCGCACTCCCGTGTGAGCTTAGTTCCATCGACCAGGCATGATACTGACCTGACATGTTTGTGAAAGGTGGTTACTGAATAGTAGATTAGGTATCACTAGTGGTGTACAATGATGTGCCAAGCCTTCCGGCTGTTCCGATTCAGTCAGGATAGCGAAGGCCGGGTGTAACCTCGGGGAACAAGCCGCTGCGGCCCGAGTCTAGGGTTGACCCCGGGCCGGATCAACAGCCGTGCGTTGATAACGATGTCTCGGGGAGCTCGGGACCCGTCACCCAAACTGCTCTCCTCTCTTTAGTCAAGCCCGCCTCCCCGGCAATCCGTCTTAACTCGCAGCTATCGGTCGACAGCAGCAAGCTGCAGGGACCACGCAGGCTGGGCGATAATGGATCATGAAGTTCATACTTACAATTCCATCGAGGTTAACGTACAATCTGAGACAACTTTGCATCACCTTGACACGTTGGAAAGGGGCTGTAAAAACAATAATGATGAGAGAAACCCGTTGTGAAAGAGTACCGCAAAGCTATCCGAAACATTGTGAGAAACTACTTCGCTTCAATTCCGCCATCTTATCGCTAGCTCATACACATGGTTTCTAATACTTTCTTTGCATCATATACGGCGATATTGCGAGTGAATTGCATGTCTTTCTGTTGCGTTGATAACATATGCATGTCTCAGGCAATCCCGGCCTGCAGTATGACTTCAAAGCTACTGGCTTGCACGACCGTGGACTTGTAGCCTTCATGCACCAACTGGCCGGCCGAGAACCATTGGGCCCCGGTATGGGTCAATTTTACTGCCATTTCTACCCTTTTGTTTGTTGCTACCCTCATCAACTTTGTCGCCTCGCGGTTCTCACAGTCTCCCATACTCATTCAACCATAATGACTGTCGCTTCCACTCAGCAAGAGCAGGATGAGTACTCCAGTAATGCTGAGGAGCGTTATGAGAGGTTCATCCAGTGGACTAGGCAACATGGCGCATACTTTCACCCTTCTCTGACATTTGTCGTCACCCCGAACCGGGGCGCCGAAGTGCTGGTCACCGGCCAGGCGATCCAACCTTTCGAAACATTGTTCAAAGTCCCCTACGGTATCAGTCTATCATACTTCAATGCCGTTTCTGCCGGCATTCCCGGATCACCCTACCAACCCCACTCAAAGCCATTGCCGGAAGAGTTTCTGGAGAACACCTCTGACCATGACACCGTCAACGCTATCTTCCTGGTTCAGCAGTACTTGCTGGGTGAGCAGAGTTTCTGGTACCCGTGAGTATGTTCTCCAACGAAGTTCCGTAGACTGACGAATAACTTCAGGTACATCCAAATCCTTCCTCAACCCGACGATGACAAGGACAGTGCGATCCCTCTGCTGTGGCCAGAATCGGACCTCTTATGGCTTCGAGGCACGCATCTAGAGGAGGCCGTATCCAAGCAGAAAGTAGACCACGTCAAGCGGTGGACTGAGGCTATGGAGACTCTCCAGAAATACGGCTGGGATCCGTCTCAATTCACCTTGTAAGTGGAAGTTTTCGAGTCCTAGAAAATTCAACAGCTGATATGCAGTGCAGGGAACTTGGCCTCTGGGCATACTACTGCTTCTACTCCCGGTACTTTTGGTCCATCATCCTCGAACCGGACGTTGCCAATATTAAGCCCGAATTCCAACATCTGGTCAAGGCTGGTATGAACTTGGATGACACAGCGAAGATTCTACTTCCAATTCTGGAAACCTTGAACCATGCCCAGGAGACAAACACTGAGTATAACTTGGATGACAAAGGCTTGTCCGTAAGCAAGAACATAGAACTGAAGCCGGGCGATCCGTTTTACATTGCATATGACAAGGAGACACAGAGATTCAATAACACGGTTTGTAAGTGCATGCTCTCGTATCCGCGTTCATTCATCATGATGTATGTTACTAATCGGAGATCCAGTGCTGAAAGATTTTGGGTTCATTCTTCCAGACAATGAAGCCGCGGAGCTCGTGCTGTCCTCTCCTTTCGATCTGACCAGACCAATGCACCTGGACCACTGTGTTTTCGGCTCCGCTGCCACAGTTGACGACCCCTACTGGACTTCCGAGGATAAATATCTCTCGCTTCTCGCTGTGAGGTCTCCATCTCTTGACAGTCGCGGCCCGATCAACCCAGGTTACCCTGTACGCTGGCTGAGGCACTTTGATCCGACATTCGTTTCCATAGTGTCTCTTAGAGTAGCCAACCTTGCTGAGAGGGCCACCTTAAGACTGGATCCACAGAAGATTCCCTCTGAGAGAAATGAGCAAGCCACGGTCCAGTTCATATCTGGATGCTTGCATGCCATGCTAGGAGAGATAGACCAACACAGAAGGGCTTTGGGGGAGCCACAGAATGAAAGGCAACGACGAGCTGATGCATATAGACTGGAGCAGAAATCAATTCTTGAGGAGGTTCTTCAGGATCTATATCGCGATGGGCCATGACAGGATTAGAGTGGTAGAGAGAGACGTGTCATTTCGTAGAAGCTTTCATCTTGTCGGACTGGTCCCCGTACAAAGTGGACACGTGCATTCAATGGCCGGCCCAGGCGGAAATGAGATTAAGTTCGGAATCTTAGACTAGCCCCGGCATTTTGACAACCAATCATGAGCCATAAACATCAGGTTGAAATCCCGAGACCAGTCTTAAATTCCGAGGGCCTCAATTCAACACTCTACCCTGACTTCCCATCTCTATCCTTTGTCTTACCTCGGCGGATGGTTTGATGTCCGAACTTGAAGAATGGAACGACAAAAGCCGACCAAGCTGGCTAAATCCTGTATTCCGTGCCGCAACCACAAGATCAAGTGTGATGCTCCAGTCCGGGGTTTGCCATGCAGCAATTGTACGCGCAGGTCAAGTCATGAGAGGTGTATTCTTCCAACAAGAAAACGCCGAGAGTTGTTGGTTTCCCGTGCGGGTTCTCGGGAGACGCGTACTGACTTTTGCCATTTCAGGAGCACGGCGCAGGGTAAGAGGACGCGTGTCCGGCCCTCTCCACCAAAAAACATTCAACCAGCTCCGCCAGAGAGTCACAGGGTAAGTTGTGCAGCTGTGTAGGCGCGGTTACCTATACACCCTTCCATAACTGTTTCTCCATACCTGCAATGCCTCTACTAACTAGCGTCTGATCAGATCTCGACATCTAGTCACGCTACACCCTGTAGCAATCCACCCGAATCGACAACTGTCGCTCAGACGCGTCCCGTCACCGATCTGTCGGATAAATGCCGAGATCTAACGAAATACCAGATCAGCTTGAACTACATCAACATTTTAGAACAAGTCGACAATAATGGAACTCAATGCCACGATCGATCTAACCTCCTTGTCGAGGAAAGCCGTCATTCGGCAAGCAGCTCAAGCAATTCATACTCAAACACAATATCTCGACAACTAGACCCCGTCGACCAGGTCTTTCTCGTTGGGAAGGGTGCCTTCGATATCCCTCCCCAGCATTGCGTGCAAGTTTCTATCTGTTATCACAAGTCAGCCTTCGACTAACGGCAACTAACTAGTGAAGCGATTCTGCAATCGTATTTCAACTTTGTCGATCCTTTCGCGCCCATTATGGACAGAACTAGTTTCATTCGCGCTTACAAGTCCGGATGCTACTCCCTCTTCCTGATGAATGCTGCTCTTGCTAGTGGATCCCTCCATGTGTCTTCATATATCATCTCAGAATGCGGCTTTAGAAGTCGGCCGGAGGCACAGGCTAGCTTCTCATCCAAGGCGACGCTGCTCTACGACTTTGGATGCGAGACAAATTCCTTGCATTTACTTCAAGGCTGTGTACTGCTGGGGGGTGTGTCGATTCCCTCCGTTGAAAAGGATTGCCGTTACTGGCTATACAACTCGGTTCGTCTAATCACAAAAACGGATCTTCACAAGGAGTAGGTTCTCCATGCACTCGGCAAGCTGCCCGGCTAACGTATTACAAGACTCTCCAGTGAAGGAATCGATCCGCTTGTGCCGAAGCTTTATAGACGGATGTGGTGGACTCTCTACGTGAGGATATCGCACTGTCAAGCAACCACGTTTACTAATGTTGACAAGTGTCGTGACGTACACTATACGTATATAGGTACACAGAGGGCTGGCATAGTTAGCCAACTCAGGTGTAATCTCTCCCCGCTTACACCCGATGACTGGGAGCCCGAAACCATTCCGGACGATTGCGCCTCAGTCTTGAAGCCGCTGAAAAGTCAACAGATACTGGGTTTCATATCATATTGGCAGCTTGCAGTAATAGGTACGCACAGTGTTGAATGGGGGACTTTGAACTCCACTGACAGGGTAGTGAATCAATGCTTGACCGACCACGACGACCGAGATCCCGAGAGAGTGATCCAACCGCTTGAAGCCTGGCGGATTTCTGTACGAGAGACCTTCCAGACGAACAACCAGTCACAGCTCGATATGATGTGTTCTTTTCTTCTGGCTAGTAGCTATCGCTTCGAGTGTATTCTTCTACGTCTCCTACGTCCGAAGTGGAAGTCTCTAAACCCAGAACGAAGCGAATGGGCCAGACGTCAGCTACGTTGCGCTATGTTTGAGCTTGATACTATCGCAGGGAGGATGTTGGCCTGTGATACTCTTCAAGAAGCACCGTTGGCATTGTAAGTTCTTGTCCAGACACAGTTCAAGCTGCCGCTTTCTGATTTTGCTGTAGCTGCACCTGCATACCTATTCTGCTTGCCCTCCACGTCGAAACCGTGTTGGACAGTACCGAATCTGAGGTCAACCAGTCTCTGTCTCGAGTATCAATTAGTAGGGTCATGTTGATTCTCAGGCGCATGAAAGATATTCCATCCATAGGGCAAGTGCTAGTGGTCTTCGAACAAGTTCTTGCAAAGCACAACCTGGCATCACCTTCAACGGATGTTAGTGGCTCCGTTTCTGTCGAGGCACATCCAGAATCGGCTGGTAAGACAGGACATGATCCAGCATGGCACGGGAGTTTTCCCGCGATGGGGTGGCTCGATCTTCTCGAGTTGGACGATCCCATGCTCGGGGATTTATCGATCTTTGAATCCACGTGTAGTTGACGTAAAAATATTGGAACCTAGTAAGATTCGAAACAAAACAAGAAAAGAGTGGAATGTCGCGAGCTTTCCGTGAAATATAGATGAGTGAAACTCCAATTTCTGAATGATATGTTATTACCTTGATTAGAACTACCCAATAGTTTCAGCCAGCTGCAATGTAGCAGTTCAACTAATTTTGCCTCCTCAGTACCGAAGACCCAGCCCAGCTTGTGAATGCTGAAACCGATATCATCATGCGTGGCTACTTCTTCCGGTCTCTGACTGGTTGCTTATTGAGGTTGGTGGAGTAAAGTCATTAGGCTGTTACTTAAGGTTATCAATAATCCCGAAGTTGGTGGGATTTCGCCGCAAATCCCGAGTATCCCTGGGTGACAAAGACAAAAATGATGCAGGGGACCCGTCTCTCATCCCCGTAATGTTTAAGCATAACAAGACCCTGGTATGACAAATCAATGCCGGCTTTTCGGAATCTCATGGCCAGGCATCTCTATTCCAAGTTTTCTGCGGCGTACTTGCAATCCCTGTCCTTTATGCTTTTCTCTGAATAAGCTTTCCTTCGGCAAATACTTCAAGATCTCGGCTTCGGGATTACCTAACAACTGTGCTGAAGTCTTCGCCTTGTGCCAGCTTATTCAGCCAGGCGAAGAGAACAGCTGGCTTGGCCGCTGGATTCTGGCTATAAGTACCAGCAAGTATCACATCCAACTACGAAGAAGACACCTCATACCATCCAGCTACATAGAAGCACCAACACTACAACCAACACCCATCCAACTGTTATCTACACCTGCAACCATGGCCGTTGGTACCAATGTCAAGCTCAACTTCACCGAGTTCTTCAACATCACCGACGGAAAGCTCGAGACAACCAAGGAGACTGTTCAGGGTGTCAATCCCTCTACCCTAGAGCAGAACCCTCCGGTTCCGGTTTCGACTCGAGAAGATGTCGACAGGACTGTTCAGGCGGCTAAAAAGGCCTCTGAAGCCTGGGCTGATGTCCCGTACAAAGAGCGACAAGCCATGTTGGCCAAGTTTGCCGATGGCATTGACTCGATCAAGGATGAACTTGTTGTTCTGTTAAATAAGGAGCAAGGAAAGCCTGTGAGTTTCTTGGTTCTCTGTTTAATCTACTTGTCTGAGAGAACTGTAGCTGCAATTGGCACATGTGGAAATAGGCATGGCTATTCACTTCCTTAAAGGATATTCACAACTGCCCGATCCTGAAGAGGTGATCGAGGACAAGCCGGGTCGTCGAATCGTCACCAAATATGTCCCTCTTGGTTCGTTAGCCAATGACCAATCCTGTCCCCAGTGCTCATAATTCACAGGTGTTGCGGTCGGTATTGTGCCCTGGAACTGTGAGTGGAGTGTCCCAGATACTTACTTCGTGAAATGCTAACGCTCGAGAGTCCCTGTATTTATCGGTAATCTTTCCTTGCTGTTTTGAAGCATGAGGTGTTAACTTGTCGAATAGCCGCTGCAAAGATTGGTCCAGCCCTCGTGGCGGGAAACGCCTTCATTCTCAAGCCATCGTAAGTCTAATGAGAAGACTATGGAGACAATCATGATAATCATGTGAAACAGACCATTCACCCCCTACTGCGATCTGAAGCTCGCTGAGCTAGCTCTCACGTACTTCCCCGTCGGTGTTGTTCAAGCCCTCAGCGGAAATGATGATCTCGGCCCGTGGCTCACTGCGCATCCTGGTGTTGACAAGATCAGCTTTACAGGATCTACGGCAACCGGGAAAAGGGTCCTGCAAAGCGCTGCTGGAACTCTTAAGCGTGTGACACTCGAATTGTGAGTCGGCCCTTGATGATCAGAGGTCTAGGGCTCACGCATACAGAGGAGGCAATGATCCGGCCATTGTTTGCAGCGATGTCAATGTGAAGGAAGTTGCCCCAAAGGTTAGTCGCGGCAGGGAAGTCCTGAAGCAAAAAGACTAATTCTAGATCATTTAGCTTGCCATGGGGGCTCTAGCGAACTCTGGTCAAGTAAGTTGTTGAAACTTTCAGATGTAACATTGCTGACAAGGCTAGCTCTGCATCGCTATAAAGCGTATCTATGTTCACGAGTCCATATATGATGACTTGTTGGAAGCATTGGCTGCAACGGTTAAGAGTCTTCCTGTTGGTGATGGCCTAGCAAGTGGCACAGCTATGGGTCCTGTCCAGAACAACCTGCAGTTCGACAGGGTGAAGAGCTTGCTTGCAGATATTCAATCCCACGACCTCAAGCTCGCAGCTGGATCAACCGGCCCGTCAGATGCGGGTAAAGGATACTTCATCACGCCTACCGTTGTTGATAACCCTCCGGATGCCTCCAGGATTGTAGTCGAGGAGCCATTTGGTATGTTTTCTCTTTCGTCTCAATCTTATAACGCTCACATCCATTAGGCCCTGTCTTCCCTGTGCTGAAGTGGAAGGACGAAAACGAGGTCCTTCGACGCGACAATGACAGCCCTATGGGTCTTGGTGCGTCGGTTTGGACTCCAGACTTGGAGAAGGCAGAGAGGCTGGCGGCGAAGCTCAAGGTAGGAACGGTTTGGATTAACAGCCATCACGAGCTGAATCCGAGTGTGCCATTTGGGGGTGCTAAGGAGAGCGGCATTGGCGCTGAGCATGGACTTGAGGGGATCAAGTCATATTGTAACACCAAGTCCGTGTTTATCAATGCAGCTTAAACTGGTGAATTAGTGGTGTATCTCGAGTACCCCTACTCTGTACTTTCCTCACAAAAGCAGGCCTGTTAATAGGTTCCGCATTGGGTTAAATTGCCCCTCCTGACCGCTCGTTATGCACATAGCGGGGAATAACAATTCCTCCTCAACTCACCTCATCTCATCCTGCCCTCCATCCTTTTAACTCGGCCACGTCTACACCATCCAATTTACAGAATCTCAGTCAGGTCTTGACATCATCTCTCGAGCCCAGCATGGTCCGAACAAAGACGCGGCCCAGGACCCTGGAGGAGAGGTACCCCAAGGACAAGTACCCCAACGGCCCACCCCAGATTCGCTTACCACCCAAACTCCCACTGGTATCCAACAACCGCATCTTCAACGATCACACCGGCAGACCAGCCTTGATGTCATGGGAGAGCTCGGGGGCCTGTTCGTTGCCTCCCCTTGCCTCCTGGGTCTTCTATATGGTCCATCCAGATGTGCCGCGCGACTTTGACGGGTGCATATTCCAGAATGGACTTGAGGATGGTGAGCCCCAGGTGAGGGGTGGCAGGTTTCGGTGGGAGTTCTTCTTCCTCCCAGGTGCCACGACTGAACAATGCTATGAGCACTACCGCGGGGAGCTAAAGGCTCGAGGCACCATATGGCGCCACATCCGCAAGGTCAAGAGAGCCATGGAACTCGAGAAGCAGAAAAGCCCCCAACCAGTGGAGGATGATCTGGCAGAGGAGTCCGGTTCTGGTCTGGGCTCCACGACATCCGAGTCCTCGTCTGACGAAGAAGCCACTGCCAACAACCAACAACTTCCTGGCTTGGTCTGGCCCAAACACGATCACGATTGCTATTTCGTGATGTACCGCGGCTGGTTTTTCGTGTATCCACATGCAAATATCGATTGCCGGGGTGCCGATGGTGCGGCGCGCGAGATAGATATCGTCACGTTTGACCCCATCGATCAGGAAGACGCATGGGGAGAAGATGAAGTTCGCAAGTTCGACCCGATGGAACACCCCGTTCACATAACACGGAAGAAAGCCAGAGAAGACTATGAACGGGGGGTTAAGGACTGGATGTACTGGAGAATATGTTCACACTGGGAACAATCGGCTCACGAAGCCACGGATGACGCGCTGAAGCTAGGCTGGAAGTCTTGGTAATGTCAGACAGAACAATGCATGGGCTGGACTTGTTCGTATGACAAAACAAACTTGATAACAAACACCCGTGAAGGGATCTAAGTAGCTCAGTAGCTCAAGTCCAACAAGGTTATATATTCTACATCCATCAGGATAGTGTCCATCAATGTCATTCCCTGCTACCTCAACCAACTCTAGTACAGTGCAGAACAAATTCCCTAAAACGGTCCTGCCGGACCCAAGTCAGAAGTCTTCCACAAGCCGTCATAGTTACTCTGTGTCCAAATGTCTGGGTTCGCGGGGTTCGGGCTTCTGTGTTTAACCTTCGCCTGGGGGAACTTGAGTTTTGATGCCGAGATGTACCCATTCGATGTCAGCACATTAGCCAGCCATTTCTTACCATCCGAGCTGTCCCCAAACTGTGCTTTAAACTTGGCTGTTGCCGCCGTCAGCCAAGTGGAAGCTGTACCCTCCATCTCGGCCAAGGTCATGTCAATCCAGTAGCAGTAGAGGTCACGCAAGCCGGGCTTGGGCTGGTCCGCAACTCGATCAGTAGGTCTTTTCAGTTGACCATCATTCATGGGATTGTTCTTGTCCCATTCGTACTCAAGGTCAAAGTCGTCGAATATCTCCTCGATAGCCTGAGACGTCTCGACGAATTTGGCCCAAATTTCAGGCCGGCGCATATAGTAAAAGACGCCAGCAGTCTGTGGAAAGGGTCAGTAAGGTTAGCCTTGAAGTAATTGAGGGGGTGAGTACTTGCATTGCGATGCATTCTGCGTGTTGACGCGTTCCCGTCTTCGTTGTCGGAGGTCGGGTTATGCCCCCGAAAAAAGACCCCCTTCCTCCCATTCACCTCCTTGTAAGCCAGTACCAATCGTCCAGGCTGTTGCGTACTACCCAAGCAAATGGCTAATTCATTCCACATGTTGTCCTTTAGAGTCCATCCAGAACCTATGAATATTCTGGTTGATCCGCCAAGGCCGAGAAGAACTTCGTCTATCCACTTGTGGTCGGGGTTTTCATATCCAACCGGAAGGTCCCCTTCCAGCAACCATTTGAAGAAGCGACCGAGGTACTGTGCTTCGTAAATATGTTCAGCTGCGTATTCATACTGGTTAGTGGGTGCACCTTTCAAACATGATGTGCGTGGGTTTCTATGAGGCAGACTTACTGTCATACTCGCTGGGAGTGATTTTCTTTTTTGAGTCGTACTTTTCCAGCGCCACTTGGCATTGTGTGCCTTTCTCTGGCGGATACCCAAACCAGCGGATAACTGAACCCGGGGCTTCTCCGCAGGTTGGATAATCGGGCACCGGTAAATCGGTAGGTTTACCGATGTGGGGGGTCCATGCGACGCTTTTTGTTCCAGCGCGTCGCTGGAGAGAACTGAACTCATCACCATCAGCAGGGCAACCCTGCCCCGTAGAGCGATATGGGTCCAGCCAGCATGTCTCGTCCCTTTTCTGTAGAGTGTCGTCACCACCTGAGCATGCCGCGCAGCCAGGAATATCCCCTACGTCGACGTCGCCAGGGCACACGAGGCCGTCGATCCGCGGTACTAGAGGCCCATATCTCGTGCCACGTTTCGATAGCTCGGATGTGGTGTTGATGCGGCCTTGACCGAAGTCGGCATCCCGGCGGCGCTGCTTCGTGCTGCCGGGAGCAGCGCAAGCTTCCTTGGAGCTACTCGGGAAGATGGTCACGTCTTGGGCCGGCATGATCATGAAGGGAGACTCGGGAAGTGCCCACGAGAACATCTCGGGGGCCTCGACGGTGGCGTAGAGATTTGCGCCAACGTCGATACCGTAGCAGAAGCGGTTACCACTGCTGCCCGCCTCGGCTTCGGCATGGAATGTGACGTGTCCATCGGCAACGAGGTTCACGGCGCAGGAATCGAGCGAAGTGAACTTCTTGTTCCAGTCGATGCCAAACGTGACAGTGGGTTTCACATGGGCAGACAGATGCCCACTCACTGCGACGCCATACTCAAACTGTGGCTCGAGTGGCTGTGTGCCAGACTTGGTAGCATCGCTGGACGTGCGAGGCTCCCAGTCCTTGTCGACTGCCGGCAAAGTCTGGTGGACGTCCCACTCGGCAAGCTTGACCTTGGTCTCGAAGTTGACGCCCAGGGTTGCCTGCCCATCCAGCCTCCCAAAGAGCTTGAAGTTGGGGCCGATGGTCACGATGCCTGGTATTGTGAAGGCCGCGCCAAAGGTGTCAGCTGAGAACATCAGAACGTCTCCGGTGTCGAAGTAGGCCGTCACTGCCGCGTCAACGACGAACTTGGCATTAACTTCACCGCCGGTGCGGTAGTAGAGGTACGAGTCGGAGATGTCGATGCCGTACTTGCCCCCGAGCTTGCCGATCAGGGTGAAGCCGTAGTTGACATCCATGTCTACCTCCATCTCGGCATAGACGTCGAGCTTGGCGTCCATGTTGGGACACGTCAGCTTCTGGTCAATGATGCTGAGGGTGAAGTCCTCGCTGTACTTGTGCTCAAGTTCTAGCGGGTTTGTGACTCCGGTGAAGATGGCCTTGAGCCAGTCGAGAGCCGTCTCGCCGAACCAGCGTTTATGAATCTCCTCCTTGGACAAGGCCCCGCCGTGTACATCATCACGCCACTCCTCCTCGAGCCAGCGCTTGTGGCTGCCTCCCACATCTTGGAGGCTCCTCTTCAGAGATCGCTTCTTGTGATCGGCTGCCTTGTCGACGACGGTGTCCCAGTACTTATTCTCGTTGCTGTAGTCAATGCGGATCTGGGTGTCGCCCAGATCGCGAGGCACTCGCGTGAAATCGTAGTCAAAGGTCAAGTCATACACAGTCTCACCGTCGTCCAGCCCGCGACGATAGTTGTGCGGTAGGGTCTGGTTTCGGCTGGGTGCCATCTCCTTGACTACGGCATATCTGCCTGGACCGCATCCCTCTGGCATGGCGGCAATGGTTCCCGGGGCTCCACGGCCAAGGTGGATCTTGTCGCAGTTTGAGTCTTGGCCGCGGTTGGTACACACCATGCGAACCATGTGCTCACCTTCCGTGATGGCATCATTGCAGTCAAAGAGCTCCCAATGAGATCCATCCCGCTTGTCAAATGAGACCTGGAGCTCCTCGGGACTGGTCATGACAATGAAGCCGAAAGCCGAGTGCTCCGGCGTCTCATCGAAGGGTACATCTTGAGCGCCACCCCAGGTGCTGTCAACTTTGAGTTTCCAATCCGAATCCGCACCCTCCTTGTTGGGAGGATTGGGGAACAAGTAGTCGAGAGGAACGGGTAGGAAGGGTGAATCACCTGGGGGAGGATCGCAGCAGAAGGTCCTCTTCCGCTTCGAGGCCCAGCCACAGTCCTCGCCTTCACCCCCGTGAGATGTTGTTAGGGCTACTTGCCAGCCCGTGTCGCAGTGGTTGTCGAAACAGTTGCCTGGCTTACCATGCCACTTGCAGTTCCGCCAATCCTGGCCCTTGCTACAGCAGAACTTCTTCTTCTTGTAGCCACTGCAGTTGTCGTAATTCCAGGTCAGCTCATTCTCCGTGTCTGAATTGCACTCTTCTCTGCAATCGGTCCATCGACATTCTGGCTTCTCAGCTTCTGCTTCGCAGCAGAGAAACTTGCGGCCGTCGGTGCAAATCAAGCCACCACCAGCTGTTGTACTCGAGGCGATTGCGACCTCTCCCGGGTGGCACTGGCCATTGCAGGGATAACCATTGCCTCTCCAGTGGCTAGAGCCGTGTTAGCTAACCCACTCAGACACACGAGCATCAGCAGTTGAAACGACATACCACTTGTCTGGGTCGGGAGCCGAGGCGAAAGGACAGCAGACGCTTGCCTGCTTCCAAGTATAACTACCACAGTCAAACTTATCCACTTCAATATAGCCCGACTTGCATCCGGTTGTACCGCAGTCATTGACGGTGCAATGGCCTTCCCCCAGCTCTGTCCAAGGGTTTACAGTCGAGTGATCCTTATAGGCTCCGAAGCCTTTGGGATGTAGCACAGCTGCCAGCGCGTCGAGCTCCTTGTTGTCAAGGTCAACTGCCCAGATGAGCAGGCCTCCCAAGCCCAAAGCATTGGCAAACTCGATCTTTTGCTGGATCGTGTCATGGTCATCGTAAGACACCCACTGATCCCCGCCCCATGTGATGTACTTGACAGCGTCCTTCTCGTCCCAGTACGGTGTAAGATCATACTTGTCAACTATGTCCATGATTTCAAAATATGCCAGAGTACCCGAGTTGGCGGTGCAAGGGCCCGGATCAGCACCGCCTAGGTAGAGACACCCAGGAGTGTGGCATGCCGGGTCTGCCAGCTGGAACGACCGCCCGTAGAACCCAAGTCCAAGGTTGATCTTGGTGGGGTCAACATCATTACGCCAGAAAAGATCCAGGGCGAGGTCTATCTCTGTTAGGTTGGTGTGCGCCAGCACCTTGGAGCCTATGGGGTTGTTGGCGTCCCAGATTCCGTGAAGATCATAGGACATGACGTTGACGTAGTCAACGGCCTCTGCAGAGCCGGTGATATCGAAGTGGCGCATGTACCAGTAACTTGTTGGTGCAGTGAACGAGATCTCTTTTCGCTTGCCGGGGGTCTTGTCGAACGTGGTGCGCATCTCCTTGAATAGCTTGGTAAGGTTCTCGCCGTCATCTGGTTTCCCGCCTCGGTCAGGGGCACCAGGGTACTCCCAGTCAATGTCAACGCCGTCAAAGCCATAGCGGTTCATGAACTTGAGTAGTTCATCAAGGAAAGTGGCCCGCTTCTCCTTGGTGGAGGAGAGGTCGCTAAAAACAGGCTGCCAGATAGTGTTGTTGTCATTGAAAGTCCAGCCACCGAGAGCGACGACGGCCTTGAGGGAGGGGTTCTTCCTCTTCAGCGAGGTAAACTGAGAGAAGGTCTCAGTGGTGAGCGTTCCATCCTTTTCATCCTGCATGGGGACGATTTCATACGTCTCGGGCTTGATGTAGGCAAAGGAATAGTAGATGTGTGTGAGGCTGTTGACGGGAATGTCCTCCATGCTCATGCCGATGCACTTCTTTTTCCAGTTCCACGCCTCGTAGTATCCAATGACGCGCTTCTGTACATCGCCACCGGATCCGCCGGAGCCGGGCTGGCTACAGTTGCTTTGACAACTCTCATCTTCGTTATCCGACTCATCACAGTACTCTGATGTCATGCCACAGAAACCATGCCGGCTACAACAAACATTGAGAGGGCATGTCTTGCCAGGCTCCTCAGCATAGCGACCGCACTCAGCGTGAGCATCGCAGTTGCTCCAGCACTTGTCGTTGGGCGACTCATCATTGGTACCGCAAGAGTCGGGACCATAGCCGCAAACGCCAGTCTTGGCACAGCAGGCACCGTTGCTGCAGGGCTTCGCCTCAGAGCAGGAATATGGGTCATCAGGATCTGCGGCCATGGCAGCTAGGGCTCTGGGAGCGAGTTTCGGGCTACATGTGTCTCGATCACCAAACCGGACCTTGGCCATGAGGTCTGCGGCTGTGGTCAATTTGTCGGGAATGGGAGGGCAGACAAGCTCCCCCCCGGTATCTCGAATCTCGACATGGACATGCTGGACGCTCCTGCCATGGTGATTATGATGGGGATGGCCCAGGCCAGGCGTAGCTTGGATAACGAGCAAAGAGAAGACGAGATTATTAAGGCCCATAGCTGGCTGGCATAGCCTAAGGGGGCTAGGGTTGGGATTTGTAACGAATGATAAGTAACGTGAAAGAGTATAAGGGGCTGCAAAGGAGAAGTGAGAGGCCCCAATGTGGTCTTTGGGTCGGGTCCTGGTTTGAATGTAAGGCACTCGATAGCAGAACCCTTTTATTCGGCTTCCATGGAGAAGCGACGGGAAGCACAAGGCCTTGTACTTGTTTGCAACGCTGTGGCTCTGCTCATCCCTGGCTTGCTGTGGAGTTGAGTTATTAACCATACGCATTGCGCAGAATATAACCAGATATAGCCTTTTTCTACTGCAGGGGATGTGCATGACCACCCTGAAAGGCCACTATGTCCTACAAGGCTGTATGATCAGGTGTACCAATGTTCCATCAGCTATCCATAATGAGGGAACCTGTAGATCGCACTTTTCTGGCTCCCCGGCGCCCAAATCACCCTAATCAATAATCAACGACAAAAAATCGGCCCGACTCCAGCTGTGAGTGCACGGAGAATTCGCCAGAAGGGAAAGAAGTAACTCGCCGTTCCCGCTCACGGAAGGGTCAGGCATAGATTAACTACCCCTGCAATGAAACCCTCTGTACGGATAAGGCGTAATAAGCTTACCGCCGGGGAACTAGTCATCTGCATAGAGCTGAACTGCAGGGTTCGAGGCCAAGGTGCTTATTCTGCAGGAGGAGCGCACAATATTTCCGATTGAGTCGAAAGCAACCCACTGCTAATGTTCTGATTGGTCGAACTGTTGGACCCTGAAGCGCTGAACTGGTCTGAGATATTTTGACAATCATCTCCTAAACCATAATCTTGATATTCGTACAGGGCTCGAGTAATTCCTTCGGCGAGATGAATCATGTGGACCTGCATGTCGTCTTAATCTGCACCATCAATCGCAAAATATGACCACTCTAAGCAGCACGGCCGAGATGATGATGGACAAAGGTTCCTACATGCGAGGCACCATGCAGGGACGCCGAGTCACATATCCATCCGGAGCCCGCCACCGATATCCAGGGCTCAGCACTTACCGACATCTATCTGCTGGGGAGTCCATTGATTTGACCGTTCTCCCTGTAATGCACATTCGAATTAGACTTCCCTTTGCCTCGCCGTCTTTATTTTCTTTCACCCGTCTCAATTCTCCCGCCATGATGCATTGGTCGTTCGTTCTTTCAAGTCTGGCTATTGTGGCTAGCCCGACTGGTGCCTGGCAATACATCTCCCCTGATGCTCTTCCGTCCGACACTCTGTCTTCCAGTTGCAAGGCTGCCTTGGTGGTCGATATTTCCTGCCCTTCGCAGGTGTCTACCTTTTTCCAGAGACAAGCTGTTCCACTTGACTCTCTGGAGGAGGCATGCACCTCTGAGTGTCGCGCCTCATTGGCCGAGTACGAGGCCGGCCTCAAAATCAAATGCGACGAGAAAGATGTAGTCGACTACAACCCAGGTGCTAACCCGGTCCACGTGTCTGTCGTGGCGACGGACATGCTCTATCACTTCAACAGGACCTGCATCAAGGACGGAGATAGATGGTGCAATATCTGGGCCTTTGAGAATTCGCCTGACAGTGACCCTAGTGGCTCTTCTGCCCGTGAGAAAACAATCCCCTATCTAGCTATGTAGTCACAAGACTGCGCTGACATGCAAAAATAGCTTCAACTACGGCTTCTATGGACATGTGTGACAGCTGCATCATTAAACCCTTCCAGTTTATGGCCGGTAACTCCTACTCAGATGGCTTTGCTTTGCAACCGGATTACTCTACCCTAACTGAAAGCTGCTCCCAGACTGGCTTCCCATTAGCAACCACGACAACCATAGAGTGAATAATTCCTCCTGATTACTTTCCCATAACACATCCCAACTGAAACAATAAACAGATCACCGACCACTTCAAATCCCTCGCTGGCTTGCTCAGGAAAACAGTACACTATCCAGGCCAACGACACATGCCAGTCCATCTCCAACGCTAACAACGTTGCCACTGCTTGGATGTTGTACGACAACAACTTGCAGGCCTTCTGTGCCCGTTTCCCAGCTGAGGGAGAGAGAATATGCATTGTGAACCAGTGCAAAACGTACACTATTCAAGCCAACGATACTTGCCAGGGCATTGCCGTTGCGTCTAATATAACCAGGGTGCAGCTTTATACATGTGAGTGGCATAGCCCTTTATAGCTTTTCACAATCAGACGAGATCAGCATCTAATATACCATGTGCTTCTCCAAGGGAACCCTGTTCTCGGACCAGCTTGCAATCGCATGTCCTTGTCTGTTGGCGACAGCATCTGCCTCGAGCCACACAACGACGAGGACTATACGTCCCCAACCCACGTGTCCACCACCCAAGCACCAAAACCTACTGCGGCCCCAGTCCCTTCCAACATCGCCAACGGTACAAACGAGAATTGCGCCCAGTACTACTTTGTCCAGGAAGGTGACTATTGCAACCAGATCATCGTCAAGTTCGGCATCTCTCTCGCAGATTTCCTCTTCCTGAACCAAGGAATCAACGCAGAGTGCACCAACCTCATGGCCGAAGACTCTTACTGTGTTGCGCCAGTCGGGCCTATCAACATGTACCCTGGGCACCCAGACTATGTAGACCCGACTTCGACCATTCCCAATATTCCCTTCAGCGACCTGCCCAAGGCTACATTCACCCCGCCAGCAATCACGGGTCTGCCTGCTTACCTACCCAGGGCCAATAGTACCAGGAAAGATTGTCTCATTTACGTCAACGGCACGGATCTACAGGTAGACATGAGCTGGGGCTCTTCTTTCTCGGGGTGCGTAGAACTGGCCAAGATATGGGGAATATCCCTTGATGAGCTGCAGAATTGGTGAGAGCTACCGGGTGCGCACTACGAGAAAGTTTTTAACACATATCTAGGAACCCTTCTCTCAACACAACTTCTCCTGATTGTGGTTTCAGCGAGGGTTTCAGTTACTGCATGGCTGCCTATATGAAGGTAAACACTTACACGGGTGAAGACGAGGCCGGGTCTACGGCTACCTCAACTAGCACGGCTTCCACGCCTACTACGGACACGACCGCCGAGCCGACAGAGACCGAGCTTCCCATCAGAGTAAGTCCCATACTTATCATCCTCATAAAATCTACCTCTAATCTCAACCTCTCTCACTTTAGGACGGCGCGGCAGAGGGTTGCACCAAATACTATGCTGTCGTTCCACCGCAGACGTGTCAAGAAGTCTTGGACGCAAACAACCTGACCATTGCCGAGTTCTATGCCATGTAAGTATTCGTCAACCGCCTCGGCCACTGGACTCCCTCAATGGAAAACTAAATTTTGCACAGGAATCCCTCGATTGGCGCGGAGTGCACCACCCTCTGGCCCAGTATGTTAAAGTTTCATAGCTCTCTTCTCCCTCCGTTTTCTGCCCCAGGTGTTCACAATAGACCATCATCGCACTAACACTTGTTATAGATTATAGATACTGTGTTGAGGTGTAAGGATAAAATAGTTTTTAGTGAAGGCCCGCTTCTGAAGATTACGTCTCCGTATCCCGGCTCTATCTCTGCGCCTCTTAGGTTCCTCGCCACGCAACATGACTTGTATGCTAAATGGAGACAGCGTTGTTGCCGAGCTTCGCTGCAACCCAAGCGAAGCTTCGAGTTCGGCATCAACAATGCAATAATCCAGGATAGGCACTTACTAAGGGCTACACTATAACAGTATTAATTTCCTCTCACCGCTACATTTAATTTTTTTTCCAACATCCCGATTACCCTTCTGTGAAGACTGTACGTAGTATCTCGCTCAAGCCCGCGGCGGCGGTTCCCAATCCCCAGTCAACATGGCCCCATCTGCAAGGAAGCGCACCGAAGGCGCGCAACCCAGACCTCTGAGACCCTGCGTCAATCACAACGTTATCTTTAACGATCACACTGGCAACCCGAGCCTCATGTCGTGGTACGGGTTAGAGAACAGGCCTAATCTACCTCATTTGCCCTCTTGGATCTTCTACATGGTTAACCCAGAAATACCACGCGACTTTGACGGCTGCACATTTGTTTTTGGTTTTGAGAGCAACCGTTTGCTTTATTGCGCTGGCGGCTTCAGATACGAGTTCTTTTTTTTACCCGGTGCCACCGCCCAAGAATGTATTGCGCATTATCGTGGCGAGATGGCTGCTCGAGGTACCATGTGGTGCCAGGTCCGCAAGGTGAAGATGGCCTTGAAAGAAAAGCATGAGGCGGGCGAAGAAGGAGTGGGTGACTCAACTGAAACGCTGTCCTCTGGCGATGAGGATGAGCCTCAGTCCGGTATCACAGGTGAAGGACTCCCAGGCTTGCCTTGGCCGAAAAGGGGTGGTGACTGGTATTTTACCAACTACCGCAGCTGGCTCTTTATGTATTTAGATGCAGACATTCATTGGGGCCCTGATCAAGATCACAATTTCTGCCTCGTCAAATTCGACCCTATGCCCATCGAATGGGAGGAAGGTGAAAGGGTCAGATGGGATCCGATGGAACACCCTATCCATTCCGAGCATATGAAGGCGAGGCAGAAGGTAGGTGACAAGGGGACCCTTATAAGTTGGATGGGCGATAGAAGTCATGACCATTGGGCGCGAGAGGCTAGCTACGCTACCGATGACGCTGAAGACCTCGGCTGGGAGACTTGGTAATGCAGTCCAGGGCGAGGGTTGATCTACCGGCTATTCTCCTTGGTTCCGTAATAACGCCACAGTCTAGACTCATGAAATGGTTAGCATCAACGCGAATCTGAGAGAAAATATGGATGTTTTTAACAGCCGTGTAACCTTGGTGATAATATATAGCGTAATCCTTTCGTGATAACTACCAGTATTTTTTACCCTTCCTTTCCGATAAGCCTTCTAGAACGTCCCAGCTGCGCCTCTTCCCGAGCCCTATAGTCCCTTGAAGTTACTTTGCGTCCAATGCCTGGTTGCGAGGGGTTTGGGTGGCTGTGCGTAACTGCTGCCTTTGGGTACTTGAGTATCGACGCCGAAATAAAGCCTCCCGAGTGAAATACGTTGTTTTACTTCTTCCCGATCTGCTCGCCTTGAAACTCGGACTTATAATTTTGCTGTAGTTGCTGTGAGCCAGTTGCTGGCTGAAGTCTCGATGTTGGTCAGAAGAGAATTAATCGAAAAGCAATAAAAGCTACCTAGACCGGCAGCGAGCTCGCCTGCTACTCAGGTAGGTATGTCTGGTTGGCCGGTATTAATGTGCCTGGATGTAGTCCATAGATACTTATCATCAAATTCAGCTAGGATAACCTCCATATGTTAAGATGTCACTGTGAACTTGGACCAAATCTCATCTCAGCGCATGTAATAGAATACTCCTGCATGCTGTGATAAAGTTGCTTAGATACTCTTTCAGCCACAGCTGAAAGACAATAACTTAAATTTCGATGCGCTCTGCCTGTTGCTTAGTTAGAATCCTCATTTAGGGCAGAGATATCCTTTCCAGCAAAAATGTTCTTTTTCCTACCATTCATCTTGTCGTCAGCCAAAACCAGGACATGTAGATAAGCGTCACTACGGAGGCCCGTAGCCATTTCGTCCCAAAGTATGTGAGACCTCCAGTCAGGGTGCCTGAACACTCTGTTCGGTTATGTAACCGCGTCGCCTCCAAAGAGGACGTCTGATATTCAGTCCTGCGTGGGGTTGTCATATCTAGCCGGGAGTCGACCTTCGATCAACCAGTCAAAAAGTTGCCGAAGAAGCGGCGCTTCGTAAACATGCTCAGCTATATTAGACACGCTAGTCAGTCTTCCATATCAATCGTATAGCCGTTGGAGTGAAAAATTACTGACAAAATCACCGGTATCGACCTCGTTTACGTTCAACTTTTCCAACTTTGCTTCACACGCGCTGGCCGCAGGACGCATTTTTGGATACCGATACCAACGCTGGATCGCACTAACGGCTTTGGCCGGTCCGCAGGACTTATAAGTTGGAAACTCTAATTCTATTTCGTCTCCATTGTGGGCCTATTTCACGGACTGCTTTGTTGCGCGAGGCTTAAGCACATTCCGCACATGAGAGGCATCGCGAGCGTTTGAGGATTCGGATTCGACCGGGCATTTTCCCTCGGCAGAGCGGTACAAGTCGAGCCAGCAAACCTCACCGTCCCTCTTTTGCAGAGCGTTACTATCATTACCTTCGCACGCTTCGCTGGACAGAATGTCGCTCAAGTCAACCTCACCAGGGCACATAAGGCCCTGGATTCGCAGCACAAGTGGCCCGTATTTGGTGGCGCACTTAGAGAGTTTGGAACGCGAAGAAGTTGCAGAAGAAAAGGACGTGGTATTAACATCATTTTCGAGGAAATCAGTATCTTGTCGTCGTAGCTTCCTAGTCCTCGTGGCAATGCAGGCTTCCTCGTCTAAAGCGCGGGGGAAAATTATCACATAATAAGCTAGCATAATCATAAATAGGGACTTAGGAAGTGCCTACGAGAAAATCTTAGGTGCTTTAAGGGTGGCATAGAGATCTATACTAATATCTAGACCGTAGCAGAAGCGGCTCCCATTGCTGCCAGCTTCGGCTTCGGCATGGAAGGTGATATGCCCAAATGTGCTGAAAATGTGTGCTTTATTATAGTTGCAGTCCGGCCCTCGATTGGTTAACTGAGCCTGAAGATCGTATGGGCGCTGAACATGAGCACATCACTAGCAATAGTTAGATCTAGCAGCCATTAGATAGGAAGAATTTGCTGTAGCATTAGTATCTATTAATCTGGCGTCTATTCAAAATCAGTCAATATTTGATAGTTGGAAACGGGCGCCGTTTCCACTCTGCATTCCCCAGTAGTACGGCTGCCTCCTCGCGAATAGTGATCTTGTCTCTCCATCGGCCAAGTAATACTATTACTTCCTTCCCACTTCTTTCATTTCTCACTGCAGTGTTTATTACCTCCTCGCCGATGGTGATCGTATCTCCCCGTTGATCAAGAAGTAATGTCATTACTTCCTTCCCGCTCCAATTATTTGCTGCAGCCTTCACCACCTCCTCGCTGATGGTAATCTCTTCTCCCCGTCGATCAAGAAGTAAAGCCAAAACTGCTTTCCCACTCCAATTATTTGCTGCTGCGGCCTTCACTACTTCCTCGCTGATAGTGATTTCTTCTCCCCGTCGGTCGAGGAGTAGAGCCATAACTTCCTTCCCACTCCAATGGTTTTCTGCTGCAGCCTTCACCACCTCTTCGTTGATAGTGACGTTATATCCCCATCGGTCAAGAAGTAGTGATATTACTTCCCCGTCAAATTGTTTGGCAATGGCGCAGACTGCCCCCTCGCTGATAGTAATTCTATCTTCCCGTCGATCAAGAAGTAGCATTATCAGTCCCTTCCCATCCCTTTCGTTTCCCGCTGCAGCCTTTATAACCTCTTCGGTAATGGTGATCTCATCTCCCAATTGATCAAGAAGCAGAGCCATGACTTCCTGATCGAACGAACTTGCAACCCAGATCATCCTGTTTACCGTGATCCTCACTCTTCTACCAAGCAGATCAGCCAATGCCTTCGTCTTCTCAGCCTTCCTTGTGCCCTTTCTACCTTCCTGACATCTGTACGTCAACGCTAGCTCGTCCATAACTGCGATCGTGTGTGGGTCGTCTCTTCCTGATATGTTTTCGTAGACTTCTCTTGCTTGATGGAGCTTCTGGCTTGCCTCCTCATACTTTCCCACATCTCTCAGTAGAAGCCCCATGCTCGCTAGTCTAGCCGCCCCGTCTAAACATGTATCTGGTTTCGCATGCCTCGATACCCGGCTTCTCAAAAGGCATTTATAATCTCCTCTACTCGGTACCCTCTCTTGCGACGTTTCCCAGTCCCAAACAAGAAACACGTCTCGGGGAAAAGTCGTTATTCGTTGTAAGAGGTTTGGCCAGTCCATAGCTGCTCCTTCAGCGCGTTCGTCATCCGTAGGGGTAACAGCAATTGCGACAATAACACAATAATCCTCACATAGCCTGATGATAGTAGGCTTCGGTGCTCCTTGCAGAAGACAAACAAAATCACCCTCCTGAATGGGCTTCGCCGAAGATTGGAGAGTCCAGCGGCCACTCCATTCTGGGAAACAGCCAGATATCCTTTTCAGAGCGACATCCACACTCTGTCTCTCATCCCAAGTACTTTTGCCCGGCGTCTTGATCTCCCCCAGAACAGAAGCCTTGGTCTTGATCACCGCAATTTCGTCTTCGTCGCAGGTTTCTACAGATGCTCGTTCGCCCATGAAAGACTTGATAAGTTGATAAAAGATGTCTTTCCACGATTTCGTGTAGTCAGGCGATAGACCAACTGGGATGTCAGAGCTCATGCCTAACAAGGCATAGATTTTGTCCCGGCGGTCGGTAGCATCTCGATTGTGATACATGTCCACGGGCTCGCCAAGAGGGCGTATATGGAGAGAGAACCTGTCTGGATGACTAACCGTGGCTTTGGGCCGGAAGATTGCACCCTTTATGAGGTAGATCGTGGAACGTATTCGACTTTGCAGGTGTGCATCTTCAGAGTCGAGATTGAGTGCTTGTAAACCAAAGCAGAACGCGTATCCATCGATCTCAGTAGAATGGCACATGATTAAAACATGCCTAGCTGCGGCAACCTCCTGCAGCACCTGAAGGAATTTTGTCAGCAACGTCTATCAATACCACCGATCATTCAGCATCTTACCCAGATGCGCCGAAACCAAGAATGCTGCAGCAGCGAAAGGACTGCTTGATGCTTTGTTTCGTCACCAGAGGGCTTCGGAGGGACGCCGCGGGCAGCAGCACCCAATTCTTCTAGTGCGTGATGACTATTTCTTATGGCTTCTTTATCCACTGGACCGCAGCCTGTTGTCGCTTCTTCAAGCCACACGATTACACGGTTAGCTCCAGCGTAGATCTTTGCCATAGATTGAACTTGGCGCTCCCGCTCTTTCATATCACCTTGGTTAATGCAGATAGCATCAGTCCATATGACTCGTTGGAGAGAGTGATCTCGGAGACGTGATAATGCCGCGTATAAGTTTTCCGTGACGGGTAGGTGACCTTCATTTGTGACAATAAACCGTGGCTTTTTTGGAGAACCCCACACATATGATAGAGCCTCGTAAAGGTGAGTCCCTTTCGCTGAGTCAAGGAGATGGTAGTGAAACAGTTGGCATTGTATCGGGGCATGTTCGTCTTGATTTGGCATCAGTCGAAGTAGGCGGATATGACCATCTTGCAATGCAGAATAGCGGTATTTAGGCGCGGCGCAGGACGGCATTGATGAAGGGCACGCGGGGTTGGCACCCTCGGCCACTGGAGGCGTCACCTGGTTTGGTTCGAATTGTTCAGCTTTCATTGTGGCATCGTTTCGCCCTAAAACACGTCTTGAAATGTAGTTTGCCAGCGGCGTGACAGGTAGGAGGACAAGTGTTAACACGCAGATAAGCAGACGCGGCAGAGAGGGGCAGAGAGGGGAATTATATTAGGCTAGGGGGTAGAGCACTAGGGTGTGTTTCAGGTTCAGGTTGAGATAGATAGCTTCGAGGTTATAAAAGAACTTGAATCAGTAGTCTATAGAGGGTCAGGGTTAGCCTTAGTCCTAGGGTCTTAGTAAAAAATTTTCTTACTTTAGAAAAATAACTTTAAATAATTTTTAAAAAATTAGCTTTATAATATATAAGACCTAACCTATATTATTCAATAGCTTTTTTTAAGCTTTATAAGAATATATTAAATAGCTGTTTTAGGGTTAAGGTTAGCTTATAATAAGCTATAAAAAACTAGCTTATAAGGGATATATAATACTAGCTTTATACTTTTCTTATTAATTCCTATTATAAATCTTATTATTTATTATAACTAAAAGTTAATTAACTTATAATTTTTTTATATAAGTATTTAATATAATATTATTATTTCACTTATAAAGTTATAATTTTTTATATTATAAATTTATAGTTTTTAAAAAATAAGCTTTTTATTATTATATAAATATAAAAATTAATAAAAAAAATAAAAGATTATAAAATTAATTAATCTTAATTTATTAAGATTAATTATTAATTATATTTTACTTAAGGTAAAGATTATTTAATTTAAGGTTAAGATTTACTTAGTATTTAAGAATTATTTTTTTTTTTAATTTTTAAATTTTTTTAAGATTTCTCTTTATTTATTTAAAATAAAATATTTTATTTATATCTTAATCTTTTTATTTCTTATATATAAAGTAGATAGGATATAACCTCTAGCTAACCCTAATTAGGCCTAATATACTTATATAAATAACCTCTAGCTAGCCTAAATTAGGCTTAATTTACTTATATAAAATAACCTTTAATAACCTCTAGTTAACTCCGATTTAATATAATAATATAATTTAAATTATACCTAATTTATATTATATTATTTCTTTTTATATTATATCTAATTTATATTATATTATTCCTTTTTATATTATACTTAATATATATTATATTATTTCTCTTTTTACTTTAATATATGTTTTTATAAGTCCTTTTAAAATTATATAAAAAATATATTATTAATTAATTTACTATTAATATATATCTTTAAAGTAATATTTAAAAAGAAAATTTACCTTATTTTCCCGTAAAGCCCTAGCTTATTTATTAGCTTTAAAATTATATTTTTATTTATATATTATAAATTAATATAAAGACTTTTTTCTTTCTCTCTTTATTTTTTTATAATATCTTAAGTTATTTTATTAAAGAAATAAAATATACTAAACTATATAGCTAAAGAAGGGATTTATTATAGCTTTTCTTTAAGGTCTTTTTAAAAAAGAGAT